TTGTTTGCACAGTGGCTTTCAGAAATGTACTTCTCACTTCCTTGGTACTTTTCAATAGCACAACTTGGTGTCGGCGTATAAGCCCATGCCCGCGTGTAAGCCCATGTTCTTGTATAAGCCCACCGAGATGTCCTTGTGAAACAGATAAGCCCATGGGCTTATCCGCGTGATTCTACGGTATAACGAAGTGCAAATTCTAACGAGTTAACGAGGAGAAATCTGTCGTTAAAATAGAAATCGTTATACAGAAATCGATGCATATACTGTCCTATTGAGCGTTGAGAATGCCAGAGTGAGAATCGTTACCTTTGGTACACGTAAACTAGTCAATTTTGGGAAATCGTTATATATGCGCCAGAGTTAGAATAATGGCTTTTACAGTACTCCGCGTACTATTTTCTCATTTGCCGTGCCCTGATCATTCTAACATCATTTTGTAATTATTTTTCATTTCGGCCACGACTCCCATAGTGCACTTTGTTGAATTGTTTTCGGGTGTTTCTCTTATCATGATATCTCACACATGGGTCCATCGCGGTAAAGTTAGTTCCTACCGCATGCAGTGCTGGAAATGGATTGCACATCAACAGATGTTAAATTGGCACATGATTAGCGCATTGCGTAGTGCGCGTGAGTTGTGCAAGTGTGATCAATGAATGCACGTGACTAGCGCATTGCCTGTCCCTGCGGGAATTTGCGGAAAAAACTCTCGAAAACTTGCGCAAGAAATTGCGGCAGAAAGTAACAAAAAATGCGACGAAAAGTGCGGAATGATGCAGAACTTGCCAGGAATTCGCGGAATTATTTGCAGAAAATTGCGGATTTGGGCCAAATCACGAAATTTGTTGCATCGTATATCTACTCGGGAGTCATACTGTGCAAATAACCTACAGGATCATGGAAAGAACTGCGTGAAAAGTGCATAAAAATGTGAGATATACAATGTAGTGCAGAAATTAACAAAAAAACGCGGGAAATCGCGGATTTTGCTGAAAATCGCGGGTTTGGGCCAAAATCGCGAAATTTGTTGCATCCGTGGAATCGCGATTTCCTGGAGGGACAGCATTGCGTAGTGTCCGTGAGTTGTGCAAGTGTGATCAATGCACGTGATACGTTAGAAGTGTGTGCGCTATGTTGCCTGTTATACATAGTGCATGCCAGCCAGTATGCACTGTCTAAAGTTATCAAGTACATGACGTACATGTATAGGCAAAGGCAAGGGATAACTTTGCACCTTTCTCTCCTCCAGTTACCATGACGACAATATGTAGCACCTGCTTTGAAAAGGACTATAAAAGAAAAGTATCGATAGGATGGTGGGTGGGGATCGACTCAGCTTCTTGAGAGAATCTATGTGCAAAATGTTGATGAATTGTGGAAGATGCATTTGACTTCTTCTTCGCTGTTTTCTTCTCTTCTTGGATCTTTGTCTGCCTTCCTTCTTCAATGGATGTTTCTTCGATGGCGGACACCCGCATCCACACATCCGCACATACCATGCCTAGTTGTATGGCAGTGTGTTGATGATCATTCAGTGAAGCAATGAGCAAAGTACTGACTGGTTCAGAGCTGGTGGGATGGGAGACAGGCATGCATCAATGCCACACGTAAATCTACTGAGTACTGTACTTCAAATTCCCAAGTCTCATTGAGTCATTATTATGCCACTCACTTTCCACCCGTATCCAGCTATTATACTGCTCGCATTGCACCCATATCCAGGTACCTGTACTTTGGAGAAGAGGTCAGGTGATGAATTGAAAGGGGTCTATTATAAATGATCGACTCGACATGCAACAATGGAAATGTTTCACCTGGTCAAAAAAGAAGCACAAGCCAGGACTCGTACCTACAACCACTTCTCTTGGAACAAAGCAATGCTTCTAGCCACTTGGCCATCAGTGTCATTGATGCTGTACTCACAGAAAATGTCCTATATCAAATTTACCCAACCGTAGTCGAACAAATCCATAATCCCAGGGACACGGCTAAAAATAAACTCGTACATTTTCAAGACTGATCAGTTCAAAACTCCTCGATAGAGCATATTCCACCGTACACACGGACGTCAGTCGGAGGAAAGGAGACTGATTACTAGGGCGAAGTCCATGGAAGAAGCATAACTTTCACGACATATCGCTTCGACTTTAAGTAAAATTCAACGACAACAACAATAACAAAAATACAGTGTTTGTGTGTGTGTGTGTGTGTGTGTGTGTGTGTGTGTGTATGCGCGCACGCGAGCTTGCGCGCGTGCGTGTGGACTCCATAAGTAGAAATGAGACACAATCAATCCAGGAGGTAATTCTCATGTCTTGCTTCAATCGAAGATGCTTTAGACATGATGAATATACACGAGACACTACCCAAACTAGTATGGAAAGATATCAAGAGATTAGCAAGAGATCTAGGCGAGATTTACTAAGATAATAACAAGAAACCCGAACAATGGCCGCAGGGCTACATTGGCATGCTGGACTGCGTGTGTGCAGGGATTTAAATTTCTGTACCTTTCCAGAGATTGTTCCAAGTCTGCCCCTTCAATTCCAAGGTGCCTACAGTATCTGATAAATGTAATCCTGAAGACCACACTGTATTCCGTTGTACACACAGCTGAGAATCCAACCGACCACCTGCAGAGCATAGTGGCTGATGTTGCAAGATGATTGGAAATCCGCCAAATCACTCAGCAAAACAGGGGATTGATCAGCGCTGTACACCATTCTCCACAGCCAGCATGATAGCAAAGACTGAGGACGCTTGCTGGATGACAGACAGCATTCCGACTTGGTCGTATTTGCTCACAGTAGCACCAGTGTCCCTGTCTGTAATCCGCCTTCTTTACTGACGTTTCGTATCTCCATGGCAGTTCTTTGCTGTACTTTGCTTTAGGTTGTTTTCGTTGTTTCCCCGTATTCTGATGCTGAATATTGTTGCGATCACCAGAGTCACTTTCACAGCTAGTGGAACCTAGGGTCATACAAAAGAGACACAAAAACAAACAATACTAATCTGCTGAAAGAATATATGAAATCAGACAGAACACAAGTGGACCATCACCTACCCCCTACCCCTTTCTTTCGCTCACTTTCTCTCTCTCTCTCTCTGTCTCTGTCTCTGTCTCTCTCTCTGTCTCTCTCTCTCTGTCTCTCTCTCTCTCTCTCTCTGTCTCTCTCTGTCTCTCTCTGTCTCTGTCTCTGTCTCTCTCTGTCTCTCTCTCTCTGTCTCTCTCTCTCTGTCTCCCTCTCTCTCTGTCTCTCTCTCTACACAACACACCCAAACGAAGCAGCAACACATTGTGTCTTGATGTTTCCGAAATATTTTCCATCATTTTTGGTTAATACGCAGTAGGTATTATATGTGTACAGTGTAGTTTGAGCAGCGCAGCATACAGTTCAGTCTATAGCAGGATCTGAAAGTGGTAATTTGGCAGCAAAAATTGACCCCTCCATGAACGGACACATCTCTATGAGCTCATACGAATTGCTCGAGCGCTCCCCCCCCCCCCCCCCCCTGCACAGACTATGCACTTGGTCACGTCCAGGATTCAAGTCATGTATCTAGGACAGACAAGTTAGCTATCCTGCACCTGGGAGTTTTGGCAACACAGTGGACAGCCAGGATCAACCCCTGCACTAATCTAGCCTGTTGGGCAAGAATTTCGACAACAAATTCTCAGTTTGTTTGCACGTCTGCTTGAGGCAGCCAATCCTAGATGTAGGGGGGGGGGACCAGTTCAAGATCCAAGGGGGGGGGGGGGGGGGAGAGGGACAGCAGACCGGTCCACTGTACAGGGCCTGGACGGAGGGGGGGGGGGGGCGCCGGCCTGTCCATGATGAAAGAGGAGGGGGGGGGGGGGGGGAGCAGAGGGGGTGGTGCAGCCATGATGCAGGCGGCCAGTGTAAGATGCAGGGTGGGGGGAGGGGGGGGGGGGGGAGGAGAGGGGTGTACAAATGTACATAGTGCCCATTTCTTGCACTATAATTATGTACAAGACTGCCAACAGGACATATAATTGTCTATGCAACCTTAGTCCTTCTGCAAAGACTGCTCATCACACAGTCATGTAATACAATACTCTATCACGGTCTCAGATTGAAGGAATAAATAATACGCAAGCACTGAGTTTATCATTCTTCAGTACTTTCTTCTGAGTTTATCTATCTACTTTGAGTTCAATGCTGTAGACAGCAAGCTTTTTCGGCCACGGATACCTCATCAGTACAGCCACGAGCTTATTTTGATTCAAATGTTCTTCGTGAAGAGTGACGCCAACGACAGTGCAGGTTTATGTGTACTCACAGCTCCAAAGTTGACTTTTTAATCTGTGTTTAGCCACTAAACTGAGTCAGGAAATTGAACAATTTTAATTTTTTTTATTGTAGCAACAACAAGGAGTATTACTCACCGTGTCATTGAGGGATGAATACTAGCGACATAGCTGATAGAACTCACTACTTGATGATTGGCTGTTGTGTATTATAACTGCCTACTTTCCAGGAAGAAAAGCTCCCAACTTTCTCTCTCCGCTGGCGCTGAGAAAATCTTCTGCTGCTTTGCGAATGTCACTGGCTCAGTATACTGCACTACTAACGTCTCCTTCAGCTTGCACGAGATAATTATCATGACGTGAATTTTCATGACTAGTAGCTGCATAGCTATATCACTTAGTGTATCGAGGAACAACATCATCCTGAATTTGTACCTCCACGAACATTTCTTCAAATTTCATATCTTGAAACATAATTTTGTTCACCAGCAAAGTGACAGCATATAATTTTGACTATACGAAATTATATAGCCTGCAATAGAGCCACGAGTCAATCTCTCGAATTGGCAACGTTCGGACATCAGGACTTCAAAATTAGTTCCGACAGAATGTAATTCCTGCTGTGGACGTTTACACTCGCCAAACTTCTTGAAAAGTAAGACTCGTCCTATGAAGGAAGCGTTTTGTTTGAGCTGTGGAAAGTGTTCCACAAACCGACTCACTGGGACTTATGAGAGCATGAAACCTAGCCTGCTCTGATGTGATGCGTGAAAGGGGGTGGTGGGGGGGGGGGGGGGGGGGGGGCAGGCTGAAGGTGTGAAAGTTAGTTCTCTGTGTAGACACATCCAGATACTCTAGACTTCTAGTATACTAAGGGCGCGTTCGAATTGTATTCATCAACTATTCGAACAGATTCCTAAAAGAGATTAGTTGAACTTGAAGTGTCCCAATAGAACTGTTTCTATCATGTTAGAGCTTTTCAGTGGAATTGTCATGGCGGTAATGACGTCCAATCAGATCAATCTTCGGAACTAACCCACCTCCCCCATCGGATGAGGTTGTGGAGTTTCGAGGAGTGTCGTTTTTCTGAAGAGGCCAATAAGGCCACAACTGCCACCTCTTCAGAAAACCGAAAAGTCAAAGAGTGAAAATTCGATCGCGCCCCGGCCCCTGGCCTAGGTGTACGATTTTCGCACATGTAGATCTACATATGGCGGAAATATCTGTGTACATGTACGTGCATTTGCAGATCTACAGTGTACGGTCTTCGACCACTGAACTAGTACTGAGCAGTACCAGTAATCATCCCAACCCGGATTTGCTGTTGCATGCCAGTGGGCCATTTGGGTAACGATTCAGTCTTTTCAAGCGTTTGTGTTCAACCTTACACTTCTAATTGCATGCTCAATTGTTTTGCCAAAATTGGGTTGTCTTTTTGTTTTGTTTCTTACTTTATAATTATGGTTTGACGCTTTGCATGCCTTGTCAATAAGACCGATCTAAACACTAATCATGCCAACTGGAGTGTGAAAATATAAATTACTCCAATACACCAACATGCTGACTGTCAAGCTTCTAAAGCCTACAACCTTGTCGGATATCGCAAAATGAAGGTGACGGTAACTGCTATCCCAGCTCATGCAGAATTACCTGTGCTATCTTCAAATTAATCCTTTTTTTAGTATGTACATCTACTGCAGTATGACTACAGTGCAGGTACATTCAAGGGTAGCCCAGGCTGTGAACATAATTAATGACTGTGAATTGCATGCTGTCACGAGACGTCCTTAAACTACCAGCAGTCCTCTCACTGAACCAACTGTGGCTCAAGATTTTTCAGAGAAGGGAGTTGTGAAAAAGCTTTCACGACACCCTGGTTGCCACCAAGAGTAGAAGAGATTATCGTGTTACTAGAACTAGTACGTCCTCTCACTCTTACATGTATAACCATCAATACTGTAGTGAACTTGTAATGAGGGGTGAAACAGAGATGCGGGGAGGGGGGGGGGGGGGAGAGAGTTGGTTGGTTGGTTGGTTTGTATTCTTTCAGGGAGAGTAGGGGATTCCCCTATCGTAATGAGCAGGAACAGGACCACTCAATCATAAATTATTAAGTAACGACAGCACAATAATGTTGGGCTGTATGAGTGTTGGGGGGGGGGGGGGGGGTGGGGGGTGGTGGTGGTCGGGACTAGCCGCAATTTGACGCCAGTGGATATGAAGCCGATTGGGAAAACTATGCGTCTAAAAATCTCATTATTTTAGCATTCTGCGCACACAGACGGCATGCAGACAGGCATACACCACACGAATAAGGCTAGGTTGTGTTGGGCAAGTACTGGTGACGAGGAACTGGTTGGTCTTTGCGCAAAATAGACACGAGCCCGTGAGGCTGCAAGTGCCACAGAAAGGCACAAGCCCGCAGGCTGTGATTGCCGCAGGAAGGCAGAAGCCCGCAGGCTGTGATTGCCGCAATGGAAAGGCAGGACCATAAGGCCATAATGCCGCAATGGAAAGGCAGACCAGTTATGAGTGACTCGCCACAAGGTTTAATGTACTTGGAGTAGGAATGATGCAATGTAGTATAAATAGATGGTGGGTCAGCAAAAGACAAAGGCAGCAGGATGCAAGTCGGGCATGAGCCAAAGCAGAGAAGACTCAAAAGTGAGAATGGCAAGGAGATGTGCCACGTTGCTGACTCGACCCGGTCAAAACTGAATTAATTATTGTGATGGCATACGCATAAATCAATGTGATATACAGCAGGCAGTCTTGCTGGTCGCGGCAAGGCGCGCTAAACAATTGGCGCGGCCAGAGCAGTAGAGGGCGCTGTTGCGCAGCAGATACGTAGTTGCAAGATGTGCACCTACGCTAAACTGAATTCATTACATGAATACATCATTAAAAAAAAGTAAATTATCGTGTCCGTTCCCGAAGGGAACTCACGACGGCCGCTAACACCCTGTAAACCATAGCTCATTAAAGTACTGCAAAAAGAATAGGACGGCCGGTGGATCTTGGCAATAAAATTAATATCAAGAAGAGAAAACGGGAAGTAAACAGGGGAACACGAACCTCAGAATAATATACTAGCAGACATTGCAGTAACAGAGCAATGAAAATTCTGCCACACTCAGTCTCACACCAGAAAAACGAGTATTCAGGAAATGGCTATGGTCACTATGTCACAGAAAATAGTGCAGAAAATATATTGCAGCTGGGCAAATGAACAAATAGAATTTCAAGTATCGAAAACCAAATGAAAGAAAAACAAATCTCTTCTGCCTTGTGCAGTGTGTGTGTGCACAGAAGATACATGACAGGAACCACACAAAGTAATATACCTGAGAGTGAGGGCATTGGGTTTGCTAGTGATACTGCTGCTGCTGCTGCTGCTACTGCCGCTGCTGATGCTTGTGCTGCCGCTGCTGCCGATGTCTGAAGATACAGTACAGTGATAGTGGCTTTGCTTTGAGCAACCAGTGTGGTTCAATCTGTATAATGATACAGCAGACATGCACGAGCAGACAAAAGCACCAAAAATCACACATGAACGCATACACATACCCACATACACCGGCGCACATACACCCACAAAGTTGAACACACACACACACACACACACACACACACACACACACACACACAGGTACACATGTCCGCAAACACAAACATACCCACACACCCGAGAAACGGCGAAAGAAAGAAGAAATTAGTCGATATCATGTAATTAGGCAAATTTGCCTGTTTGTTCTTCGACTCTAAATAAACAAACAAACAAACAAAATGAATGTTAGTAAGTAGAAGCAAACATCACAACAGAGAAAAGAACATGTATCATTATGCACAGAGAGGAAGGGAGGGAGGTCAACTGTGCTGGACTGTGACTATGGTGACTGTGACTATGGTGACTGTGACTATGGTGACTGTGACTATGGTGACTGTGACTATGGTGACTGTTACTATGGTGACTGTGACTATGGTGACTGTGACTATGGTGACTGTTACTATGGTGACTGTGACTATGGTGACTGTTACTATGGTGACTGTTACTATGGTGACTGTGACTATGGTGACTGTGACTATGGTGATTGTGACTATGGTGACTGTTACTATGGTGACTGTTACTATGGTGACTGTGACTATGGTGACTGTGACTATGGTGACTGTGACTATGGTGACTGTGACTATGGTGACTGTGACTATGGTGACTGTTACTATGGTGACTGTGACTATGGTGACTGTTACTATGGTGACTGTTACTATGGTGACTGTGACTATGGTGACTGTGACTATGGTGACTGTTACTATGGTGACTGTGACTATGGTGACTGTAACTATGGTGACTGTTACTATGGTGACTGTACTGGACTGTCACTGTGCTGGACTCTGTATGTGGTGACTGTCTTGATTGTGGGACTATGACAGTGATGACTGTGCTGGACTCTGACTGTGGGGGATTGTGGTGATTGTACTGAACTGTGCCGGGGGACTGTGCCCGGGGGGGATTGTACTGGACTGTGCCAGGGGATTGTGGTGATTGTACTGAACTGTGCCGGGGGACTGTGCCCGGGGGGGATTGTACTGGACTGTGCCAGGGGATTGTGCTGGTGACTGTGGTGACTGTTCTGGTGGTGGTTGAGCAGTGCTGGGCTAGGAGAACAGTGGAAAATATGTGGCACTGCTCTCCTAGCTGCTGCACAATGTTAAACCAATGGTACTTAAAGATTCAGATGATGGATGTCTGCTCTGATCCCTTCATGTCAAAGTTTCCGGGGAACACAAGCAGGAAGTGTAGATAGAACTGACCAGCACAATAGCTGACAAGTGGTTTGGTTATCCTCCATCATGGCAAGGTGACCATGCCAGTCAATACCACAACTATTAGGGGAGTGAAAATGCTCGGAAACAGACAGACACCCAGGCACACACACACACACACACACACACACACACACACACACACACACACACAGATACACACACAGACAGACACGCAGACAGACAGACAGACAGACAGACACGGAGACAGACAGACAGACACACACACACAATTTCACACTTACCGTCTCTAAGCTGACGGTCAGCAGGAAGCAGTGCAATCATCTCCCTGTACAAAACTTCATACTTCAGGCCTTGAATAGCTGCACATAGCTTTTTGTATGTGTCCATCCCTCCAGCATGAATGTACGAGATGACCTGGACATGATGGTGCTCCACTGGCTCATACTTCTCCAGGCGTATTAATTCAACGATTTCGCTGAGATTCTGTAGCAGACCTTGTCCCTGAACACTGCTGCGAAACCGTGCACAAGGTATTGTGCATAACTTGGGCAGGATTTGAGCAGTGAAAGTGTCGGTGTCGAAAGGATTATCTATAATTATAATAGAGCACGCACATAAAAAACATACGAGAAACGGATTTGCAAATGGTTCCCATAGTTACTTGAAAGTCCCAGCAGTCCATACGTTTCATACAGAAGTCTGTAGTGTAGATGTATATTACAGGACATGAAACACACGCAGAGGTTACGTCATGAAACACACGCAGAGGTTACGTCATGACCCACACACAGAGGTTACGTCATGAAACACACGCAGAGGTTACGTCATGAAACACACACAGAGGTTACGTCATGACTCATGAGCCACACGCAGAGGTTACGTCATGAAACACACGCAGAGGTTACGTCATGAACCACACACAGAGGTTACGTCATGAAACACACGCAGAGGTTACGTCATGAAACACACGCAGAGGTTACGTCATGACTCATGAACCACATGCAGAGGTTACGTCATGAAACACACGCAGAGGTTACGTTATAAAACACGCGCAGAGGTTACGTCATGAAACACACACAGAGGTTACGTCATGAACCACACGCAGAGGTTACGTCATGAAACACACACAGAGGTTACGTCATAAAACACACACAGAGGTTACGTCATGAAACACACACAGAGGTTACGTCGTGAAACACACGCAGAGGTTACGTCATGAACCACACGCAGAGGTTACGTCATGAACCACACACAGAGGTTACGTCATGAACCACACACATCTACCCTGTATAGAGTATCACTATTCTAACAGAAACAACAGGAGAATCCGAGGATGAGTTTCCAACAATATTTTTCGAAATGTCTCATTGTTTTTCCCTATGGTTTCTGCACAAAGTGTAGGGCAGAGCAGAGCTAGACTTGGTCGGACAATGCGGAGCTGGACGGTACTAAAGAGGTGGAGTTAAAGTAGGGCATAGAGATAGTGTGGAAAAGTCGAGGTGATGGGGAAAAGTCGAGGTGATGGGAAAAGTGGAGGTGGTGGGGAAAAGTGGAGATGGTGGGGGAAAGCGGAGGTGGTGGGGAAAAGAGGTGGTGAGGGAAAGTGGAGGTGGTTTTGTTAAAAGTGGAGGTGGTTTTGTTAAAAGTGGAGGTGGTTTTGTTAAAAGTGGAGGTGGTTTTGTTAAAAGTGGAGGTGGTTTTGTAAAAAGTGGAGGTGGTGGGGAAAAGTGAAGTGTGTGGGTGGGATAGTCGTTATGCTGGGAATTGTGGTTCTTCACATACCTGTGCTCTCTGATGCTTCTGCTGATGATTCTGCTGCTGCTGATGCTACTCCTGGTGCTGCTGCTGCTCGACTTGCTGCTGCTAGTCCTGCTGCTACTCCTGCTGCTGCTGCTGCTACTCCTGCTGCTGCTGCTGCTGATGATGCTGCTGATGATGATGATAATACTGCTGCTGATTGACTTGCTGCTGAGACTGCTACTCCTGCTGCTGCTGCTGCTTGACTTGCTGCTGCTACTCCTGGTGCCGCTGCTGCTGCTGCTCCTGCTGCTGCTGCTGCTGCTGATGATGATGATGCTGCTGCTACTTCTGCTGCTGGTTGACTTGCTGCTGAGACTGCTGCTGCTGCTGCTGCTGCTTCGGCTTCTGTTCAAACAAGGAGAGAGATCAAGAGAACACTAGTGAATAACATGAAGTTCTGTCTAGGCTAGTGATCATCATGAATATGAAGTAGCAGATATTGTGAAGTGAAATGGACTCACCCTGGAACAGAGTGTAGTGATCGGAGTCCACGATCAGCTTATCCGTAACATGCATTGCATGGAGGTGAGATCGTAGCATTCCCATGCTGTAAATCAAAACAACACATCAAATACATAGACACAGAAACACGCATACCCGCATAGTGATAACATCATACACACACATTCACATGCGCAGGCTCACTTGCACGCACACACACACACGCACACACACACACACACACACACACACACACACACACACACACACACACACACACTCACACCAATGCAAGCAAACACACGTGTGCACACACACGCGTACACATACACACATACACACTCACACACCAGCACACACGCACACACGCACGCACACACACACACACACACACACACACACACACACACACACACAAGCAGAGATGAAAACCATAAATTTTGGTATACATTCAGACTGTTGAATGTATTATCTATCAGCCGTACCAAGAGTCCATAAACAAGAGTATGCCACTGTGTTCTCTTTTCTATGGGCCAGATGTGGGGGGTGCTGCCTTCATTTCAGCATTCAGCCGCGGTCTGCGCACTTCAGAAAATCAAACACCGCACTTTCCCTCTGGTTTGAACTAAATTCTCGTACGGAACTGAAGTTCACGCACCAAAATGTAGAGATTGGGTAGGTACTGGAATGAATTGAGCAAAAACGGATGGGTTTGTACGAGAAATTGTGGGTTTGAGTGCATGTTTTCGGAGCGTTAATGGAAGCAAGTTAGGTAATGAAGGCAGTGCACCGCGCACTGACCCATAACCACAATTGCATACTCTTGTTTATGCACTCTTGGCCATAGTAACAGATGTGATTGCAGAATACAATGCACACTTCAAAGGTACTGCAGAGTACACTGGAGTTCTTAAGAGTAATTTCCACTAACATCCATTCATCACTAGGAGAAATGAAACCAACTTGACAGAAATGTTTTACTCACGAGGGATTCTGTCCCAGGAATGACGTCTCGTGTGCAGTTGGGAAGCAATCATCCGCCAAGGGTATGTCTGTTAGAAGGCATGTAGACAAACATAACACATACAATCAGAGATTGAGTGTGTACAAGACAAAACACTGGACGTGTTGAAAACATAGGCAAGAACAGGATATCCATGTCACACTGACATTATTACGATAAACTGTATAAACATGCATGCAAGTATTCTCCATTGTTTCTAACAAAAAAACAAAAACAAATCAATACACATTCAGGGGCGTCGGAACCGGTGCGCTAGGAGGGGCCAAAGCCGCACCAATAATTTTCGAAGTTTTTTTTAGCGCCAGCGCCAGCGAGAGTGACATGGATGCCACAAACGACGAGTGTCGCTGAAATAAGTGCTACTAATGGTGGAAGGGGACGTGGCAGAGGATGTGGCAGAGGGAGACGACGCGGCCGGGGAATAGGAAGTGATCACGGTACAGCCAGCAGTGCAACCTGCACTAGTCTTGGGACGATGCTGACACTGCTGTGACAGGTAACACTCCTGCATTTCACCCAGAGAACGAACCTGGTGTCCACTTACCTGAGGGAACCACTCCAGTGCAGGAATGTAACTCAGTTTCTTGCATATCGCAATAGTTTGCCCGATCAAACCAAATTATCAGTGCTAAATAGTGAAATTTTTGTTCGTTTCAGGACTTGAAAGTTGTTGCAGCACATTTCTGAGGGCTTTCACTTTCAGAATCAGCATAATGTTGTACAATAATAAAAGTGAAAAATAAAAAAGTTACGACATGAACAATGACGGCCGGCTTTTGCTGTACAAATACCTTAAACGGTGAAAGGTTAATATTTATTCAACTGTTTCGCTCTGTTAGAGCTTCTCAGCACAGCTCAGAGGACCGAAGCGCAGCTCTTCGCAATGAAATACGTTTCCGTGAAGCAAAGAATTTTTATAAAGAGCTGCGAACCCCGCCAAGAGTGCTCGAAATGCTCCAAGAGCAGTGAGCGTTGCACAAGGCGAGCGGCAAGGGTTCAAGCTAAGGTAAGAGTGCTCAACCTAACGACACGTATACGTGATACCTAAACTTACTCTCAAGCTGACAGCGAAGACGCTCTTCCTGGTTGAAACGCTGTTGCTCATAGGTGATGGTGTCAGGAAATGCGTGCAGAAGCTGTAAAAAGGCAGATATGCACACATATACACACAAATGCACACATAAACAGACAGACACACACACACACACACACATACACACATACACACACACATGTAAACACATACACACATATAAACATAGAGAAAAATGAGAAGTTAGAATGGAAAAGAATGATTCCTTGAGAGAACAAAGAATGGATGCATCATTATCCTTCTGTCTATAATGGCAAAAATCATTAAAAAAATTGAACGAAAAACAGACATCTAAAATAGTCCTGTAATTATCCAAAGGGCAGCTTTCTCATGTTTTCAAAGTAAAACTCAAGAAAAGTGACATGAGAAACTCAAGAAATTAGAAAAAACTTTCGAATGAAATTGTCACTCACCATGCTCTCATTGTCTACAAGCATCCTGCAGATCTCTCGGTAGCAGTTGGCAAATGGCGAAGAAGAACAACGCTGTGCTATCAAGCTAAATAGCAGTGTGGATGAGCGACGATGACTTTTGCTGCACCACGCTAGCAAAACCAGTGAGGCATTGAGCCGACTGGGTTCAGTGGATGACACTGACGTGGCTCCAGCAAGCCGGCTGATTTCGCTCGCACCAACGTCTAGATGTGATTGGAGATCGCCTAGGAATGCTGAATCTCGCAGATTCTCCAGTCGATCCGTACAGCGGGGAGGAAGCATGCTGACGTGCGTGGCGGGAACGTAGTGAAGATCTACGACTGAGTCAACAAACAAACCGCTGGCATCTTTGACATCTTTGCTGTGCGCGCTGTTGGCAGCACGAATGACGGCTTCGCATGAGTATGATGCAACAGCTGAAGAGATTGCAGCTGGTGAAGCCGATCGCTGGATAAGCTGACGCATGCTGCTCAGGCTGAGTACAGTGGGCTCTACCGAAGTACCACGACTGTATCTCTTCAGTAGCTCAAGGAAGAGAGCACGAAACAGCCAGTGCACATGGTGAACGACTTGCAGGTACCTACTGGAACTGGACGTCACTACAATACAACAGCGCAGGCGGTCGAACGAAAACACAACAAGCGCTGTTGTGTGCGGGTATGGGTGGACAATGATGGTGTTCTTGAAGAATATGGGATCAGTACTGGAGAAAAAGCAGGCGGAGTAGTCGTACACGCGTGCTTGGCATTGAACAATGAGTGCAGATGAGAATGGCACACAGCCATTGCAGGTATACACAGAACCTACCATCGCTTGTGAGGTCATGAAGGCGTTGTGCACCTTCAATGGCTGTGTACACTCGGGAAACAGGGAGAGAGCAAGGATATCTTTCTGATAGCGGATGGACAAGCCGAGTTGTAGAACCATATGCACGCAGAGTGGAGCTTTTTCGCCGACTTTGGCGAAGGCAGTCAGAGAACGGACGAACTCCTCTTCACTTATCTTGTATTCCCTGGCAATGCCATCAGGGCGGTGGGGGAAGACGTCGGAAGAGTACATAAACCCGATCACGTCCTGCAGGAGCCAGCGAGGCTGATGAACCACCAGATCATTCAGCTCTGGGAATGTGATGATCTTTAGCAGTATCAAAGGCATACCACATGCACACACACACATGGACACACACATGCACACACACATATGGACACACACATATACACACACAAACACATATACACACACAAACACACACACACATATGGACACACACATATACACACACACACACACACACACACACACACACACACAAACAAACATACACACACATATACACACACACACACATATGGACACACACACACACACACACACACACATATGGACACACACATATATGCAAACACACTTATGGACACAAACACACATGGACACACACAGCAGAAATGTACATCAAGTACAAAGAATCATAAAGCTAAATTTGTCTCCCAGTATCTTTTGTATAAAGCTCAATTATACAAACTAACAGCCTAATGGTGTGCATACAGCATCAACTTTTCCGGTTACGTTTTGCACCGGACTTCCGTATTTTTCATCAATTCATGGCACTCTGCCCATTTCCTCTTATACTGTAAGACCAGTAATGTTAACGAACATTTAATTCTAGCAATTTAACTCATTTAAATAATACGTTAAAATTTTAAGTCATTACCGTATTTTTCGGAGTATAGCGCGCACCTTTGTATAACGCGCACCCCCAATCTTCATTGGGGGTGCGCACTTCAATCTGCATTGAAGTACATGCATTTCATATTCGGAGCATAGTGCGCACCTGCGATTTAGGGCCTAAAATAACACATCTAAAGTGCGCACTATACTCCGGAAAATACGGTATGTACGAGGTGATTATGCATTTCTAAGCATTTTTTCGTTTCTAAGCAAATGCGTAAAATCAGCAAACCGTCTCGTACATATCCAATGCATGCGGTACAATATTCCAAATATAGCACAGTGAGAGACTTCCCTCGGTCTTCATCTTCCTTTCCCAGCATGTGTTTTGTTCAAGAAGACTAGGTTTGTCCTTATTTTAGAGCAGTTTGTTGCTCTTCGCGATCGCTTCAGTAGCAGAAATAATGTAAAATCGCCCTTTTATGGATCCCGTTTGTGAGGAGCCTGCCGAACCAGGCCCAGAAAGTTCATGTAATAGCAGTAGTAGCGACAGCACTGGATCTGCTAATGGAGAAGAAAGCCATAAAACGACTTCTGATACAGATATGGCATCAAATATTGAGCCGGATGAACCCAGCACAGATTCAGCTAGCAAGCGAGCAACGCTCGCTGTCAGAGCATTCTATTCTCCTGTGACGAGCAGTGCATTTCATTAGCTAGAGTAGAATGGAGTGGTAGTGTGACGGTGAAGGTGTGGGGTGACGGTGTGGGGTGACGGTGTGGGGTGACGGTGTGGGGTGACGGTGTGGGGTGACGGTGTGGGGTGCCGGTGTGAGGTGACGGTGTGGGGCGACGGTGTGGGGTGACGGTGTGGGGTGACGCTGTGGGGCGAAAGTGTGGGGTGACGGTGTGGGGTGAAGGTGTGGGGCAACGGTGTGGGGCGACGGTGTGGGGCGACGGTGTGGGGTGACGGTGTGGGGTGACGGTGTGGGGTGACGGTGTGGGGCGACGGTGTGGGGCGACGGTGTGGGGCGACGGTGTGGGGCGACGGTGTGGGGGGGGGGGGGGGCGGTGTGGGGTGACGGTGTGGGGTGACAATGTGGGGTGACGGTGTGGGGTGACGGTGTGGGGTGACGGTGTGGGGTGACGGTGTGGGGTGACGGTGTGGGGCGACGGTGTGGGGCGACGCTTTGGGGTGACGGTGTGGGGTGACGGTGTGGGGTGACGGTGTGGGGTGACGGTGTGGGGTGATGGTGTGGGGCGACGGTGTGGGGCGCCGGTGTGGGGCGACGGTGTGGGGTGACGGTGTGGGGCGACGGTGTGGGGTGACGGTGTGGGGTGACGGTGTGGGGTGACGGTGTGGGGTGACGGTGTGGGGTGACTGTGTGGGGTGACGGTGTGGGGTGACGGTGTGGGATGACAGTGTGGGGCGACGATTTGGGGTGACGCTGTGGGATGACGGTGTGGGGTGACGCTGTAGGGTGACGCTGTGGGGTGATGGTGTGGGGCGACGGTGTGGGGCGACGGTGTGGGGTGACGGTGTGGGGTGACGGTTTGGGGTGACGGTGTGGGGTGACGGTGTGGGGTGACGGTGTGGGGTGACGGTGTGGGGTGACGGTGTGGGGTGACGGTGTGGGGTGACGGTGTGGGGTGACGGTGTGTGGTGACGGTGTGGGGTGACGGTGTGGGATGATGGTGACAGTGTGGGGTGACGGTGTGGGGCGACGGTGTGGGGTGACGGTGTGGGGTGACGGTGTGGGGTGACGGTGTGGGTTGACGGTGTGGGTTGACGGTGTGGGGTGACGGTGTGGGGTGACGGTGTGGGGTGACGGTGTGGGGTGAAGGTGTGTGGTGACGGTGTGGGGTGATTGTGTGGGGTGACGGTGTGGGGTGAGGGTGTGGGGTGACGGTGTGTGGTGACGGTGTGGGGTGACGGTGTGGGGTGATTGTGTGGGGTGACGGTGTGGGGTGACGGTGTGGGGTGACGGTGTGTGGTGACGGTGTGGGGTAATGGTGTGGGGTGACGGTGTGGGGTGACGGTGTGGGGTGACGGTGTGGGGTGACGGTGTGGTTCATGAAGTTAGTGTGGGGTGACGGTGTGAAGTGACGGCGTGGGGTGACGGTGTGGGATGACAGTGTGGGGTGACGGTGTGGTTCGTGAAGTTAGTGTGGGGTGACGGTGTGGGATGACGGTTTGGTTCATGAAGTTAGTGTGGGGTGACGGTGTGGGGTGACGGTGTGGGGTGACGGTGTGGGGTGACGGTGTGGGTGTGGGGTGACGGTGTGGTTCGTGAAGTTAGTGTGGGGTGACGGTGTGGTTCATGAAGTTAGTGTGGGGTGACGGTGTGGTTCATGAAGTTAGTGTGGGGTGACGGTGTGGTTCGTGAAGTTAGTGTGACGGTGACGGTGTGGTTCATGAAGTTAGTGTGGGGTGACGGTGTGGTTCATGAAGTTAGTGTGGGTTGTCGGTGTGGTTCATGAAGTTAGTGTGGGGTGACGGTGTGGTTCATGAAGTTCTCGCAGAAACTCAGACCAAAGTATTCAATTGTGAGGATTACGTGTGTGCAAACTCATGCGAGTCGGGCATGAACATGAACGATATCTAGAATGTAACACATCATGCAGGCTATAAGGGTGCTCATCTTCTAAAGCATGAAGTCATAATGAGCTTTGAGCATGACAAAACCTCAGGGTGAATAGGGAAATTCATCTGCACACATCAACCTTTTTCTAAGTATCATTTTTCATGACTGTACACACAGAAATTCATCATGCCATGTCAACATTGCTATTAATGCACTCCTCTTACATATCCGTAAGCAGTCAGGACGCGTAGAAAGCTGTCGATCTGCTCAGTGAGTCGTTTCGGCAGTGCGTCTTTGGTTCCTTGGATTGCCTTCTTGAATGCCGCAACGAACTCGGCTCTTGAGCAATACGGACTGGGCATAGCTGCCTGAACCTCATCCAAATGCTGCCGAGCATTCTGCAGCAAACGTGGTTGCTTGGGAGATTTCTGCACAGAAAGTTGAAATGGTACGAAAGAGTGGTAGCGACCTTGGTGATAATTTTATAGGAAAGTGTTTGCCTGCCACTTGGGAGTTCACCCTTGACTCGACAGTTGGCTGACTCGCGACTGCCATCCAGAGCATACAAGAAGTTCATCGACCCTTTGGCTCGGCAAATGTGCAAGGAAGCACCCGTCCCTACTCAACACCTTCCAGAGCTCAACTGATAAGGGGGGAATTCCCCGAAACATGGTCTAGTGAGCAGGGTGTGGTGCTTTCTTGCAGGTTTGCCGAGTGGAAGGTGCAACGTGCTCCTCGTGCACTCCGTATGGCAGTCGCGATTCAGTCAAGTGTCAAGTTCGGCATGAAGCGTGTATTCCTCGTTGGAACAACCAACTTCATAACTAATGCCGCCGACGTCGCAACGTCTAAGTTCCTCAAAAGGGGTTGGAGAAAAATCTTACTGCTAATACTGCTGAAAACTGTCATGACGACTTCCCTATATTGCAGCTCTATCCAGAGATTTGAATTCACCCTAACAATAAGTTTATTGATTGTGACCCTGCACCATGGTAAGAATGGATATCATCACCCACACTGAAAAATTGGATGGATGGACGAGTAAGAGAGTTTTCTCTCTCGGATACGTTAAAGGGCAAGTTAAGCCTAAAATCAAATTTTCACCAGTTGTAGTTTTCGGGGTGCTGAGTCGAATGGTCTTGGTCCGAGGAAGCTGAGAAGGTCCCTTCCTCCTTTATTCCCAATCGAACTCGCGCACTTCCACCGAATCTGGGTGCCTGCTGGTGAAGGTGTGCAACTGTGCCAGCATGCCATTTCCATCCTTGATTTTTGCCACGAACGAATTCGCCACAGTCTTGGAATTTGCAGGGATCTTTTGGTCAACAGTGGTGACACGCCTGCAAACCAATTGTTTTCGTCTCAAGAAGCGACTTAACCATCCACCCGACGCCTTGAATCCGTTCAAATCTTCTCCGTAAATGTCCCATGTGATCTGCTGCCCCTTCATATAAATATTGCCCGAGCTACGCCACTATGCACTGTACCTGGAGACCTGTACTTATTTCGGGCGCACTTTCCTGACAAGCGTCACGCAAGCGTGTGACTACCCATCACAAGTACAAGCGGAGTTCACTTCATGGTTGGCAGTGAGTTACACTTGGGACGAAGAGTCGTAGATCAAAGGGAGAGGGTTGCTGAGATAGAGAAAGTTTTCGGAGGAGTTTGATGATGATGATGGTATTGAGTGGGATGGTGAAAGTGATGATGAAGCTAGCGCAGAGGACGGAGAACGTGACGGCTTGCTTGTTGTATCCTTGGCTTTTGGCCGTTACTTTATCGCCATCGTAATATTGGGCACCATTGCCCGTTTGGTCTGTGATACAAAATAAAATTTCAACAACAACTGCGCCCTACTAGATGGGGGTTTGTAGGCAAAATGTCACTAAAAGCGCCATTTTGTTCTTATAAAAGCACGGATGGCCGCGATTGGTCCATATGTTGTAATCTTTTGGATGCTGAGTCGACTGGTTTTGGTCCGAAAAGGCTGCGATGCAGCGTTCGGCCCTTATTCCCAATCGAACATGGTTGAACAAGCGGTCACGTCCTCCTGCTTACACTAGTCACCTGGTCACCGCGCAAGCAGGCGACAACTTTCACACCAAGGTTTAACTCAAAATGTTCAAAGGTTCAACTCGAGTGACAGGAACTCTGTAAAAATTGGAGCATGCAGGCCGAACGCTGCATTGTAGCCTTTTCGGACCAAAACCAGTCGACTCAGCATCCAAAAGACTACAACATAATGGATCAATCGCGGTCATCCATGCTTTTATGAGAACAAAACGGCACTTTTAGTGACTTTTGCATCAAATCCCCATCTAGTAGGGCGCAGTCACCCAGTTTCGGTGGAAGTGTGCGAGTTCGATTGGGAATAAAGGAGGAAGGGAGCGTCTCAGCTTCCTCGGAATAAGACCATTCGACTCAGACCCCGAAGACTACAACTGGTGGAATTTTGATTTTAGGGTTTACGTCCCCTTTGAAATGCATAGCAGTTCTCTAAGACGCATCCTTGAGGGGGAGGGGAGAAGGGGGAGGAAAGGGGAGGAGAAGGGGGGGGGAGGAGAAGGGGGAGGGAGAAGAGGGAGAGAGAGGGAGGCGGGCTACTCAACCAGCTACTAGACCAACACTCAAGACAAAGTAAATTTACCATATTTGGGAAATGAGAAATCTTACCGCCAACACTCGATGGACCAAGTGCATGAAATCTCTCCTTAGATCATTCATGCTGTAACTGTTGGACTTTCTAGCATCCACTACTCTCACAAAGCAGAGATCCAAGTGCTGAGAGAATGCTTTCATTCCTCTCTTTATGGCCTTCTCCACTTCAGTGCGCTCTTCAGGTGTTAGCTGATCAGCTCGTGTGGCAATTGCGATAACATCAAGTTTCTGCGTCTGCTGCAGTTCTTCTTGCTGCTGTTCGTGTGGCTGCTGCTGCTGCTCGTGTTGCTCAGTCAGTGGGGAGCCTGATAATGCAAGAAGACAAAGTGACACAATTGCCAATAACATGCATTACCAGTACATGATTACACAATCAGTCAATCTAGGACAGTGAAGTATTCCCTGTTCTTCCTCGTATGCCAGAATGGAGAAGATTGCAAGTCTATCCATCCCAGGATCATGTCACGGCATTACTATTTTGAGTGATATGGGCACCAGGGCAGCCTGATGATCAACTGTTTGTCGTTTTTGGCATGTTTTCTGCTGAGAAAACCTGTGATTGAACAGGAAACTGGAAGGGTCTGTTCTTTTTTCATAACTTTGTGGCTGCAGGTAGGGATATATGTGCAGTGTTCATGATTGGCTGAATAGATCATGTGACATGCAAGAAAATGGCTGAATAGATCATGTGATATGCAAGAAAATCATCCATTGCTATCCACTTACCATCATCAGGTGCAGACAGGCGACAAACAATATTGGCGGCAGTTGCACTGACAGTCTGTGTGATCTTATCAACACACTCTGTGCCGTCCACCACTATTGCGGCAACAGATGGTGCTGCCATGGAAACCGTGAATATATCATGTGACACGTTATAATGTTCTTGGCCAGCAAAGTCGCGGAAATGCACCTTCACCTGCGATTGGTTGTAAATGGTTTCTTCAATTCCCTACATGGAAAAGATAAAACAATTCAAAATTGAATGTGCCCTGAGAAAGCAAATACCGTATTTGTTGGTGTATAGCGCGCACCCTGAGCAGTAAATTTTGAAGCTCAAATCTGCAGTGCGCACTATACACCGAATACGAGAATCTAGTACAAAAGTGCCAGAGTGCAAGTGTGCAGGTGTGCAGGGGTGCAAGTGTGCAAGTGTGCACTTTACACGTAATGCACTGTATCGTACGGAGCAAGTGTGCAGGCTCATCGACGTTCGAGAACATCCACGGAAAAAACAATGTTGTTTTCATATTCACAGTTCGTAATTCCATCAATTTCATAGTCATAGTCTGACTCACAGGAAAATATTCTTAAGTTTTGTCATCCTTTGACGAGATCAATTTCAGAACCAAATATCCCCGATTTGACTGCGCGTTATACACCGAATAGAGCCATTTTGTGTGAATTTGTGGTTGAACATTGTGGGTGCGCGTTATACAAAGGTGCACAATATACTCGGGCAAATACGGTACTGTACAAATTACACCCAGCTCAGTACCATCATACTGGTCTAAAGCAACAGAATAGCATAGCTATATGTTGATACAATACATAGCAGTGCATGGCAGTACAATCAGGTACCTTATTGTACGGAGTACAGTATAGTGCGCACTTTAGATGTAGTGTTTCAGGCCCCAAATCGCAGGTGCGCACTATGCTCCGAATGTGAAAAATGCATGTACAGTCAAATCTGCCGTTAGCGACCTCTGCTGTAGGCGACCATCTACCGTTAGCGACCGATTTTCCGTGCACCGACGGTTTCACATACAAACTGATCTGTCCAGAGCGACCATCTGCTGTGCGCGACCAGCGACCGCGATTTCATGCACTGTGGCTGCATTCAAATCTGCTGTAAGCGACCGTGACCCAGGTTCAGTAAGGTGCGAAACTGTACTTGCCAGTGCGTTGTCAACTGCAAAGTGTGAAAATGCGCTGTCTTGCAAGTGCGATCGACTGGCGCCTGGCCTGTACTGAGGCTGTGCTGTAGCTCTCAAGTCCAGGCAGTGTCGATCTACTGCCGTGTCGCATACGCGTACTATACGGGTATGGTCGTCGTTGAATATCCAATAAAATGATATTAAAAATCACATTATTCTCGTCGATTTGAGTACATGGAAGCATATACCTGGTATGCCGGATTTACCATACATCTGCCGTAAGAGACATCTGCCGTAAGCGACCGCTTTTTCTTGCACCAAGGGGCGGTCGCTTACAACAGATTTGACTGTACGTCAAAAAGTAGTGCAATGCATCAAATTGTTGCGAAGTTTGCCACCTCTCACTCTGCACCAGCGGTCATATCTGTGTACTCCTAATGTCTACTGCCAGCTACACTGCTAATACATGATGGGTACGAGACCCCAGTGGTAGCATGTGCATTTTACAAATGTACATATGAATCATCTTATGATAAATTCTAACGATGGTCACACCATATTGTTGTCTTTTTAATGGTCGATAATGCCGTCAAATCAAGGCCGCTCATTATACTCCGGACATAACTTGAATTGCCAAAACATTGCTCCAAAATGGGGATGCGCATTATGCTCAGGAGCCTGTTAAACGCCGGCAAATACTGTATCTATATATTTTATCGCATGGTGATTTATCAGTTGTACGCTTACGAGTACAATGTTGTTTTTGGTGGTAATGTAATCAGTCGAATTACAATGTGTCCTATATACATGTTTTACTGAGCACATTCAACATTGCTTTCAACTCACCTTTGTTCGGGATGCTAAATCTTTTGCCTTCATGTCCGGTTGATTCTCCTGACGTAGTAGTTTATTGAAGAAACCTTCTGCTGTGAAGGATGCAATGAAGGTAGATTTCCCTGACCCTTCTGCTCCGCACACGCTGGCAATCAGTTCAGTAGGATCAGTGTAACCCTCAATACCAAACTCTGCACAGATCAAGCTGGTCTGGAGCATACAAATGCAGCACACAACAACAATACCCAATGCATGTAAGTTGAACACATGAACTACAGTTGTGCTCCATGAAATCAAACCCATATTGCACAGCTGGCGCCTTCAAGAAGTTGCGATTACATTACAGAGTTTCTGCCATACAGTAGGATGTGCCAAAGTACGGATGGAAACCTTGCGGTGGCTCGAGATCAAAATTCAGACAGATTTCATACCGCTCTCTGTGCGAAGCGTGCTATATACGGACTGGTCTCCGTATGAACAACTATGACTTTGAGCATGAACTGACCACGTAGACTACATGTACATGTGGCGGGAAGTAGCCTGAGGTACTCTTGAATGATCGCCAAACTAACTGCTCCACTTAGGAAACCAACAACAGTAACTGAAGGGAAATACATCTCCAGTTTTGGCCTCCAACAAGTGGCGACTTTAGACACTCATTACACCCCATATCTTCTGTCATGGTGTATTGACTTTGTCGTCCCTTGCGATCCTGACCTTCTCTTTCCCGTCACGTCTATTCTTCCCCTTGGATCTTCTGCTCTGAGCCAGAGTTTTTTTTAATAGCCAGTCCCAACTGCCTGCCACAGCTGCTGATCGTGAGCAACCAGCTCCAAGCATTCATCCCAATGCTGCGCCCCAACACAGTATAGGGCTGATACAGAGTGAGTTTGGGGTCCTCTCAATACAGACCTGGGATATCTAGTGCCCTTGCTAGGGTTCTGTCCATCCTCCACTCTACCATGGCATTCTCTCTCTCATTCTCCCTCTCATTCAAGTTAGGGGTGTTGAGGTAACGCAATATTCTGCTTCCCCTGTTCTCTTTGGTGTCACACTAGGATCAATCCCACCCCCCCCCCATCCCCCGCACTCCTGCCCCCCCCCCCCCCGCACCCCCCCCCCCCCACCCCACAGCACACCACTCCAACCCCCTCCACCACACCACTGCATCCCCGCCGAGATGTATTATTACTTGTTCTCATCCTCTTTGCACCTTGCCTCCCCAACCTGAGCTTTCCACCTTGGAAAGTTATTGTTTTTTTGATTTGGAGATGTGTTGGACCTAGGTATCATTGCTTTGAATGTCTCAGCACCCCTGTCAGTTGTGTGCCTTGTCGCATCTTCCAACTGCATTTGTATTTGATCTGGTCACATCAGTGGGTGGTTACTCAAAACTTGTACCAATTTGTCTTTCCTCCAACGGGTTATTGATCCTAAGGAACGACAGATCTCACCTTAATCAAGTCCAATGCTTGCCTTTCCCCTCGAACTTTAGCTATCCTACTGGCTTCCTCCACAATCTTCTTGGCCTGGATTGGAAACACAGAATCAATATTGGTAAAGCAGTAGAATCTTCCCTTCGTCAATTTTACTAGTCAGCACAACCACCACATATCCATAATACCACCGAACACCACCAGCCATTCTACTTGCTACACCGTATATAGCACTGGTGCATGGTAAGAGATGGTAGAGCTTTCAGGTAGCGCTCAATACTTTTAACAAAATAAGTTGACTAAAGGAAGGAGTAACAAGACATGCACTGTACACGATGATGATACCAACACACCTTGAAGTAGACAGTGAGGAAATAGACTAGAGAAGAACGCATGCTAGTCTTCTCTTATGCAATTATAAAAATCTGCAGAAAGTACTCTGTCCTCATATAATCACTAGCTTCCAGTGAGATCGCCCATGCTATGCAACATTATGCACTGAATAGCTACATATATGTGTGCCAGGGAAAACAATCATACCATGCTGATAAACAACTTGTGCAGTGGAGAGGGAGTTGGGGAGTGGTTTTAGAGAAAAAGGTTCTCACGGTAACCATAAATATCTTCTAATACAAACCAGTAAACCTATTAATAACATAACATACTCTTCACAACTCTTACTGCATCATATGTAAGCTTGGTCCAGGTGAAATCCAGCAAGTAGGGTACACAACCTGCTTTCCCGAAGTACACTGCCGCAACGAGAGGAGTTCTCCCATCCTACACAGAAATAATGGCAGCAACACAATGATAGATCACAGCAGATATAAATAGCTTGTAAAGCCTTTGCAAATTGCAAAAGTACCAGTGCTTGCTGTTGTTTCAGCCTGATATTCCCCAGCAATAGACATAGAGCTAGCACAGTGATCCTCATGACCAAGAAGAGTGCTGTGCTGTAAGGAGAGTCAATGGTAGAGATTGTTCAACTTACATTGTTCTTTACAGAGATCGTGTCTGGTTGGAGATCTAGTAGACACTTGACGACGTCTAGCTTTCCATTATAGGCAGCAAGATGAACAGGAAGCTCACCTCCCTGTGTACAAGTAACACACATGACCAGACATTCCTGATCTTTATCCATCAGAAAAGTACTCATATTGAATATAACCTACAACTCACTATGATGTGAAGCATGGTCATATACACAACTCTGGTAAGTCAATTGCATTAAGCTTTTATAAGTATTCAGTGCTAGTTATCATTGTTGAAAGGTATTTCCCTGACGAAGGTCTTATGAAAGCCGGTTAGGAAATTCTAGGACTTCTTATTTTGTCATTGCTACGCACAATGTGTGCCTCGCTCATTCTGCCTATTGCCATAAAATACTTTCTGGAATGTAAATAAATGACCGGAATGATGCAGAGAATGTACCATGTAGCAGTGGTGTGTCCAGGATTTGGCTTAGGGGTCCCTGTCGGCGGTAAGGTTGTGTGTGTGGGGGGGGGGGGGGACATAATACTACTGTCCCAGTTGAGCCAATTTGGAGAAAAAAAGGCATCATTTCTCACCCTAGTCACTAGTGACACAGTCACACAGGCCGGTCATGTAGATATCCAACAATAGTAATGCAATCATATCCGATGTGTTTCTTACAGGCGTATCTCAGATGTTACAATCATCAATCATGATACTTTAGATAGTAAATCCTTGCCTAATTTTTTTTGGAGCATACAAGGCTGTTCTCAATCATGTTTTGGCTGAGCACTGAAACCTGGTACTTCCGAATCTGGCCGAATGTCAGTAACTGTTCGCTCCGAACGAGACTGACAACGACTTGATCAGGCGTACCCTTTCCAGTTGAAACAGGAAATGGGTCGTCGCAAGAACGTTTTGCAAAAATCCATCCAGGGCTCTGCTGGCCAAAGCTTGGCCTCTCGATGTCACTGAGACTTCGCAGAAAAGTCTTCGAGTCAACCACAATTCGAACCCCTAGGAGATTATCTTCAAAACATTGTTGTACAAAGCTAGTTTCAGAAAGAAGCGCGTGCCGAGGAGAAGCTTTGTTTTGTCCCACTAGCGCAGCGCTGCGTTCAGCACATCACAGCACACGATCAAGAGTCTCAACATGCATAGAGCGCGTCCTGGAATCTGTGCACCTGTGTAGATTTACACAGTCAATTGTTTCTTTTACAGTGTAATTGACGCACCGCGTACCGTACGTACCGCTTTTGGATGCTAGCCTCCCACCATCTGCAGCCCGTGCAGCAGATTGGTCTTTTTTTGACACCCAGGTCAAAATATTTGAGGGAGGGGTGGGTACCCCCAGCGCTCTCCCCCAAAAATGACACTGTGTAGTCTGTCATTTGCCAAAGTTGCACACACTTGGGTTATGCACTCGTGACCATTAGAGTGCCAAAGATTGCTTGACTCACGTTGGTCTTCGCAGAGACAGTCTCGGGTTGGAGTTCCAGTAGATATTTGACGACTTCCAGATGCCCACCGAAGGCGGCGTGATGAACAGGAATGCGACCGATCTGTGTGCAGGTAAAGACAAGTTCAGACATTCATACATTATGTTATCTATCTGCAGTCTTTATCTTACAAATTATGTTAACCTACTGTGACCAAAGTTTTACATGCCATCCATAGTTATCCCACACTGACAATAATATAATTATAAGCATGATATTGATGAGTCACAAAGTGCAACAGTTAGCACAATAATGACAGCTGTCGTACCGACATTCAACCATCACGTCTCAAATGTGCACACCAATAGCCTTCCAGCTTGGAAGGTTCTAAGTTTCGGGGGGGGGGGGGGGGGGGATGGTGAGAAAGAGGAATACATTGGCGGGTGTATTCGAGACGTGATGGAGCTAAACATCAGATAGTTGAATATCAGTACCACAGCAGTCATCATTGTGCTAATTGTTGCACATTATGACTCATCAATATCAGACCGTTAACTCTACGTACAGTCATATACTACTAGTAGTCAGAGGATGTGCGTTTCTCCTTGCCAGTAGTTGTGCTTTCAGAAAGAAAATTTTGCTTTCCGCACGGAATAGTCCACCATCATCTATGCCACAACGATGAGTCCACACAAGTAACACACATGACCAGACATTCCTAAGCTTTATCCATCAGAAGAGTACTCATATTGAATATAACGTACAACTCACTATGAAGCGAAGCATGGTCATATACACAACTCTGGTGAGTCAATTGCATTTGCTTTTATAAGTATTCATGTTGAAACGTATTTCCCTGACGAAGGTCTTATGAAAGCCGGTTAGGAAATTCTAGGACTTCTTATTTTGTCATTGCTACGCACAATCTGTGCCTCGCTCATTCTGCCTATTGCCATAAAATACTTCATGGAATGTAAATAAATGACCGGAATGATGCAGAGAATGTACCATGTAGCAGTGGTGTGTCCAGGATTTGGCTTAGGGGTCCCTGTCGGCGGTAAGGTTGTGTGTGTGGGGGGGGGGACATAATACTACTGTCCCAGTTGAGCCAATTTGGAGAAAAAAAGGCATCATTTCTCACCCTAGTCACTAGTGACACAGTCACACAGGCCGGTCATGTAGATATCCAACAATAGTAATGCAATCATATCCGATGTGTTTCTTACAGGCGTATCTCAGATGTTACAATCATCAATCATGATACTTTAGATAGTAAATCCTTGCCTAATTTTTTTTGGAGCATACAAGGCTGTTCTCAATCATGTTTTGGCTGAGCACTGAAACCTGGTACTTCCGAATCTGGCCGAATGTCAGTAACTGTTCGCTCCGAACGAGACTGACAACGACTTGATCAGGCGTACCCTTTCCAGTTGAAACAGGAATTGGGTCGTCACAAGAACGTTTTGCAAAAATCCATCCAGGGCTCTGCTGGCCAAAGCTTGGCCTCTCTGGATGTCACTGAGACTTCGCAGAAAAGTCTTCGAGTCAACCACAATTCGAACCCCTAGGAGATTATCTTCAAAACATTGTTGTACAAAGCTAGTTTCAGAAAGAAGCGCGTGCCGATGAGAAGCTTTGTTTTGTCCCACTAGCGCAGCGGTGCGTTCAGCACATCACAGCACACGATCAAGAGTCTCAACATGCATAGAGCGCGTCCTGGAATCTGTGCACCTGTGTAGATTTACACAGTCAATTGTTTCTTTTACAGTGTAATTGACGCACCGCGTACCGTACGTACCGCTTTTGGATGCTAGCCTCCCACCATCTGCAGCCCGTGCAGCAGATTGGTCTTTTTTTGACACCCAGGTCAAAATATTTGAGGGAGGGGTGGGTACCCCCAGCGCACTCCCCCAAAAATGACACTGTGTAGTCTGTCATTTGCCAAAGTTGCACACACTTGGGTTATGCACTCGTGACCATTAGTTTGCCAAAGATTGCTCGACTCACGTTGTCCGCCGCAGAGACAGTCTTGGGTTGGAGTTCTAGTAAATACTTGACGACTTCCAGATACCCAGCGAAAGCGGCGTAATGAACAGGAATTTGACCGAGCTGTGTGCAGGTAAAGACAAGTTCAGACATTCATACATTATGTTATCTATCTGCAGTCTGTATCTTACAAATTATGTACAACCTACTGTGAACAAAGTTTTACATGCATTCCGTAGTTATCCCACACTGACAATAATATAATTATAAGCATGATATTGATGAGTCACAAAGTGCAACAGTTAGCACAATAAAGACAGCTGTCGTGCCGACATTCAACCATCACGTCTCAAATGTGCATACCAACAGCCTTCCAACTTGGATGGTTCTAAGTTTCGGGGGAAAGAAAGGTGAGAAAGAGAAATACGTTGGCGTGTGTATTTGAGACGTAATGGAACAAAACATCAGATAGTTGAATATCTGCACCAAAGCAGTCATCATTGTGCTAATAGTTGCACATTATGACTCATCAATATCAGACCGTTAACTCTACGTACAGTCATATACTACTAGTAGTCAGAGAATGTGCGTTTCTCCTTGCCAGTAGTTGTGCTTTCAGAAAGAAAATTTTAGCTTTCTGCACGGAATAGTCCACCCTCATCTATGCTACAACGATGAGTCCACAACCGTGACAAGTGACAAAACAATGAACAGCTCCCAGACCTAAAACGTTCACTTCCCGTAGTGGTGTTAGCCCTGAATCGAAGAGTCATGCCTTTGGTTCAAAGAACCTTCACTGTTTTCCAATCGAGCACCGTCCAAAATGCACCAAAAACCATTACCATGTGGCAGGCCACAGGAATCCGAGCGAGTCGGTATCGAACTGGTGATATTCCCCACCAATAGACATAGAACTTGGACAGTGATCCTCATGACCAAGAAGAGTGCTGTGCTGTAAGGAGAGTCAATGGTAGAGGTTGTTCAACTTACTCTGCTCTTTACAGAGATCGTGTCTCGTTGGAGAACTAGTAGACACTTAATGACGTCTAGCTTTCCATTGCGGGCAGCAAGATGAACAGGAAGGTCACCGTCCTGTGTACAAGTAACACACATACATGACCAGACATTCCTAAGCTTTATCTATCAGAAAAGTACTCATATTGAATATAACGTACAACTCACTATGAAGTGAAGCATGGTCTTATACACAACTCTGGTAAGTCAATTGCATTATGCTTTTATAAGTATTCATGGCTAGTTATCATTGTTGAAACGTATTTCCCTGACGAAGGTCTCATGAAAGCCGGTTAGGAAATTCTAGAACGCATTATTTTGTCTTTGCTACACACAATGTCCGCCTCGCTCATTCTGCCTATTGCCATAAAATACTTCATCGAATGTAAATAAACGAGAGAGCTTGGAAGCTCAGGGCCCTACGCTATGCTTTTATGCTTTTTTGCCTAGCTCATCGTACATGTTATAAGAACTGATGGGAATGTCTTTTTCGTTGATTGGCCACATCACTGTATTGCAAAAACGTTTCAATCGGTTTGAATATTATGAGTTAGGCAAAAGTATTTGCAGAATTTATTGCGGATTGTTATTTCTCTAATAATCATCTACTTTTGTTTTGCTCCTTCTTTTCTTTTATCTCCTTATATTGTAAATCAACAAATTTTGGCCGAAGAGAAATAGAAACCTCTCTATTAGAGAGGTTAAGATGCACGTTATTTCCGACGTGACGCGCAGTTTCACGTCAAATTTGAAATCGATGGGTATTTTGGCTCTATCATGCATCCATTGCTCAATCATGCATCATTTGCCTATATGACAAACGTTGGCCTGCGATTTACTTTGGCCGGTTGGTACCAAGCGGCGAAATCAGCGAAATTAAATCGCCAGCGAACATTAGTTGATTTTAATACAGTGATCGGATTTTCTGGCCTTTTTGTAGCAATACATGTGTTGTGTCCTACCCCCGGTGGGTTCTACTCGGACTCATCCAGCTCGATCACACACACACTCGAAGCCATTGCAGATTTCAGTACATCTCAAACTCCATATCCGAAAAAGACCAAGCTCACGTGCGAGCATGCGCACTACATAAATATGGTCCATGTCCAGGACATGACAATTTCCCCCTCACTAGTTGAGGCGAAGCATCTAGAACTATGCAATAGTAAACATATCAAGATGCAATCACAAAACTCACAACTGCCGAGACATAATATTTCATGATACACTATACACCATATATACACCATAAATATATAATTATATACAATATCCAGCAGAGTCCAAAATATATCATTAAAACTCCACAGACTAGAGTAGGTCTATATGAACTGTGTGTTCTGAACGTCAATCCTTGAAACGAACTGGTCGAACAGTAGCGCGGGTTGACCGTCGTTCAGCTTGCGGTGACGACGTCTTGCTGTAGCTGGCACGTGAAGTGCTAACCGACGCAGACTCACTAGTACCGGTTGTTGCTGAGACCGGCGCGCCTAGCTCCGCTGCCGTGACACTGGCGTCGTTGTTGCTGAATGACGGCTGTGACGGAACCTGAGCTGTTAAACTTGCTCCACTCTGCTCAGACGCCCCTGCATCGAACTGAGGGATTTGCCGAGGACGGAGCTGGTTGCGATGGCGTTTCCACATTGCATCACCGACTTGTATCTGATACGTCATCGGACTGAGAACTGCCGTGACCACGGCTGGGGCCCACTTATCTCCTCCTTTGCCGAAATTCAAAGCCAGGACAGCTTGGCCGCACTGAAATTCCGGCATGTGCTCCAGATTGTTCTCGTAAACCTCCACGCCCTTACGCCCTTCCATTTTCAAACGATCATATTTGATGCGAGGTTGTCGCCCCATCAACATCTCGGCCGGTGTTTTTCCATTCGCCTGTGGGGTAGTACGATGCGAGAGCAAAAACCTCTGCAACTTTGAGTGAAGTTGCCCTGGTTCCTCATCCATGACTTTCATTTTGCTCTTGAAAAACCCCACGTACCGTTCTGCCATTCCATTGGTGGCCGGATGGCCAGGAGCGGTACACGTGTGATGAATTCCATTCTTCCGCAAGAACGTTTGAAATTCATCGCTTGTGAACTGTGACCCATTATCCGTGACGATATGGTTTGGCAGGCCGAAAATAGCAAACACGCGTTGCAAAGCCATTATTGTTGACGCTGACGTAGCATGGGACGACGGAATAACGTCAATGTACTTGGAGTACGCATCCACCAATACCAGGAACATTTTGCCGAGAAACGGTCCTGCAAAGTCGAGATGCAGTCTCTGCCACGGTCCTGCCGGCCATGTCCAAGTTGCAAACTCTTTCGGGGGGATTCTTGGCATCGAGTTGACATAGGGCACACTGCTTGACCGTCGACTCAATATCTTCGTCGATTTTAGGCCACCAAACGTATCTCCGAGCCAACCGTTTCATTCTCACTACCCCAGAGTGTTCTGAGTGTAGGTCATTGAGTAGGATTACTCTCAGGGAGTCGGGCATGACCACCCTTCCATTCCATAAAAGGATGTTGTCCTCAACTGACAGTTCCCACCGTTTAGCAAAGTAAGGAAAGAGTTCTGGCTCTGACACTTCCTCCCAACCATTAATCGTGAAATGGAGTACCTTCTTCAGGACGACATCCCGTTTCGTTTCCGCCGCTACAGTAGCAGCCCTGATGATTTCAGATTCTTCTTGAACAAACAACACCTGTTGTTCAACCATTTCATCACGAGTAGGATCGCCACTCATTGGCTTGCGCGACAAATAGTCCGCAAATACATTCTTTCTGCCCGGAATGTACTCCATTGAGTAGTTGTATGCCGACAAAACCATCTTCCATTTTTTCAGCCTCCAAGATACCAGAGTAGGTACTTTCTCTGTGCAGCCGAACAATTTGAGTAATGGCTGATGATCCGTTCTCAGCATGAACGTCCGTCCCAACAGATATTGACGAAAGTTGGTAACTCCAAACACCAACGCCAACGCCTCCCGTTCGATATTGGAGTAGTTCTTCTCCGCTGACGAGAGAACACGAGACCCGTACGCTACAGGACGAAGCTCGCCCGATTCGTCCTTCTGAAACATTACCGCACCGAGACCAATGCCCGAAGCATCCGTTTGAAGGATCAGATCTTTCTCCGAGGAATAGTGAATGAGTACTTCACTGGAACACAGTGCAGCCTTGATTCGAGAAAATGCATTCTGCTCATTTTCCTCCCATTGCCATTCAGCAGATTTCTTCACCAGATTGTACAGAGGTACCATTATTGTTGCAAAATGAGGTATGAACCGTCGCAAGAAATTCGCCGTTCCAATGAATGATTGAAGCTCGTTAACATTCGAAGGAGCCTTAGCGTCCCGCATTGCCTCAATCTTATCCGCTGTGGGAGCCACACCAGCACTAGAAATCGTGTGACCCAGGTAGGAAATCTCATCCATCATGAAATGAAACTTACTGGGATTAAGCTTCATCCCGGCCTCCTGTAGGCGACGTAGTACCCTGATCAGGTTGTTGTGGTGTTCATCCTCGTCCTTCCCAGTAATCAGGATGTCATCCACATAGACGATGCACCCAGGCAGATCTGCCAATATGGATTCCATTGTGCGTTGGAAAATTGCCACTGCCGAGTGAATGCCAAACGGCAATCTCACGTATTCATACAACCCCTTGTGAGTAGAGATTGTCGTGTACGGCCGAGAAGCTGGATCAAGCTCCAGTTGGTGATAGGCTTGGGAGAGATCCAATTTGGTGAATTTATCTCCCCCCGACAATTTCGCTAACATTTCCTCAATAGTAGGTAGCGGGTAGTGCTCCAAATCAGACTTGGCATTGATTGAGCGAGAGTAATCAGCACAAATTCGGATACTACCATCCGATTTCAGTACTGGCACAGTAGGCGATGCCCATTTGGAGTGCTCAACTTTGCGAATAACTCCCTCTGCTTCCAATTTCTCCAAAGCCTCCTCGTACTTCTCCGTGATAAAGAACGGTACGGGACGCGCCTTGTGGAAAATTGGATCAGAATCATCCACTCTCAGGGTGATTTGAGCCGACCTCAGCTTGCCAACCTGAGTCGTATCGAATAGCTCCTCAAATTCCTCAATGAGAGCTCTCCTCCTACCATCCATTTGAACATGATTGACATTGACAATCTGTTTCCACGGTAGAGTAAATTGGGACAACATATCCCTGCCCAACAATGACGGACCACCATTATCCACCACACGGAGTAGTGTTGGTTTCTCCACACCATCAATGCTGACATTGAACTTCCCTTCACCAATACATTTGATTTCTGCCCCAGAAAAACCGGTCATGCGTACACTCGGTTTGGTTAAATTTGTACGAGACACCCCAAGTGACTCAAAATCATGGACAGAAATGATTGAAATGCCACTGCCCGTGTCGATTTCCATTACAACAGGAACATCATTCACAGCAATTTCCAATTTGTAGGAGGGCACAGATTTGCTCTTCAATTCGCCCTGATCCGAAATGTGGAACATTGGCATGCACTCAAGATCAGCAGATTCATGCCCACCTGCGTCATCAGTCACAACATTGTGCACCGACGCGCCTGACGTGGATTTCTGCCGACAAACACGCTCCAAGTGCCCCTTCCTGTGGCAGTGACGGCACTCAGTGGCCTTGAGTTTGCACTTATCCGCCAAGTGTTGAGTAGACCCACAGCGGTAGCACAATCTCTGCTCTCGAGATTGATGAGATTGACGAGAAACACCAGACTGCGGCTGCGAACGCGATTCCACTGGCCGGTGATTCACCTTGTGCACTTCCTGCTGAGAGGTCAGCTGCACGGCTGCACGCGCCGCCGATTCCTGCGTCAAAGCTAGTTTGACGATGTCATTGAACGACTGTGCCGAAGTATCTTCTTTCGTCAATAAGAAATTTCGAGTGGATGAGCTGCTTAAGCCAGCAATAAACTGGTCTCGAAGCGCTCGATCGAGGTGATCAGCAAACTCACACCTCACAGCCAATCTCTTCAGACGAATGATGAAATCCGCAGTCGACTCATTTTCCTTCTGCTTCAACTGATGGAAATTGAACGTCGCCGAAACTTGCGAAATTGCAGGTTGAAAATACTTCCTCAAAAGATCGCAAATCTCCGACAGTTTCTTGTCAGCTACTTTCGCTGGCAGACAGAGGCTCCTCAAAATCGAGTAGACTTCTGCAGACAGCAAACTCACTAATACAGCCTTCCTTTTCTTGCTGGCAGCCAACTTGTCTGCAGCATTGGCCGAAGCAGCCACGGTTCCAATATCATTGGCAAAGAAATAGAATTCAAGTCTTTCCTCAAACTCTTCAAAGTCGCCGCCGGTAAACGGCTGAAGCGATGATATCCGAGCCATATCTTCGTCGCCAGTTGTTGTGTCCTACCCCCGGTGGGTTCAACTCGGACTCATCCAGCTCGATCACACACACACTCGAAGCCATTACAGATTTCAGTACATCTCAAACTCCATATCCGAAAAAGACCAAGCTCACGTGCGAGCATGCGCACTACATACATATGGTCCATGTCCAGGACATGACAACATGTACATTGACCTGTTGAGCCAATGACGACGCCGAATGCATGGTTGCCTGTGGAGCACATTACATAATTTTACAGTCTCCTAAAATACGTATCCTGTCCGACGGCAAAAGAGGCTGCAGATTTAGTTTTTCTGCGCGTCGACGGGATGTCTGCGACGCGAAAGTTCAGTTCGCGTTATTTGGCTCGCACGTCGAAAAATCAACGCGAGTGACCTGCTGCTCACGTCGAAATTGTTTACTGGGACCGGCGCTGACTCTGCCGATCACGGGCGTTCTGGACTCGACGGGATGTCTGTCCTGATGTTTCCTGGGATCGGCGTAGACTCTGCCGATCACGGGCGTTCTGGACTCAAAGGGATGTCTGTCCTGACGTTGCCTGGTACCGCCGGACTCTACCGATCACGGGCGTTCTGGAGTCGACGGGATCTCTCTTCCGACGTTTCCTGTGACCGGCCCTGAATCGCTCGTTCGCGCTTATTTTGGAGACGACGGGATCTCTCTTCCAAAGTATGTTTATGCTGACGCATCCTATCACATAATCGGCGTCTATTCTAATTTAATTTCCTCATCGTCTCCCTATTTCTTTCCAAATCTCCTTCTACATCAGGGAGTCGTATACATAATACGACGAATATTGGTACGGTACGGGACAGATACAGGAGCCCGCAAATATTGTGGACAGCTGTTATGTACAATCCTGTAGAGCCTTTGTAGTCACAGATACGGGAGAGATACGGGACAGATACGGGATAGCTCCAGCCGTGCTCCCCTCCTGTGCTAGAATTAACACCATAATTATTTGGCATGTGCCCTCACTTCGTAGAGCACAACGGCGCGCTCTTCTTCTCCGTGATGTGCACAGTTGCACCTTCTCTCTCCCCCCCCCCCCTCTGTATAGAGGTGACATTACTCGCATCATTTTATTTTTTGGCGCTACACTCTGCGTAACGCCATTCACAGAGCACAATGCGCGCTACCTTCTGTTGCTTCTCCTCCGTGATGTGCTAGTTGCGCCTTTTCTCTCTCTCTGTCCCCCCCCCCCCTTCTGCACACTAGGTGACATAATTCGCATCTTTTTTGGCGCTACACTCTGCGTATATACTGGTCTTGTGTGGCTTCCACGGTATTCATTGCTATTACCTGACGATGGCCAAGTGCCGAAACGTTGTAATAATAACGGAACTGGTTCGGATGTGATGTGCAGCGCTATGGGAATGGGTGTGTCCACCCGAATTCTTTTGTACAAAGTTAGTTTCAGAAAGAGGAGCTTGCCGATGAGAAGCTTTTTTTTGTCCCACTAGCACAGCGCTGTGGTCAGCACATCACAGCACACGATCAAGAGTCTCAACATGCATAGAGCGCGTCCTGGAATCTGTGCACCTGTAGAGATTTACACAGTCAATTGTTTCTTTTACAGTGTAATTGACGCACCGCGTACCGTACGTACCGCTTTTGGATGCTAGCCTCCCACCATCTGCAGCCCGTGCAGCAGATTGGTGTTTTTTTGACACCCAGGTCAAAATATTTGAGGGAGGGGCGGGTGCCCCCAGCGCACTCCCCTAAAAATGACACTGTCTAGTCCGTCATTTGCCAAAGTTGCGCACACTTGGGTTATGCACTCATGACCATTAGAGTGCCAAAGATTGCTCGACTCACGTTGTTCTTCGCAGAGACAGTCTCGGGTTGGAGTTCTAGTAAATACTTGACGACTTCCAGATGCCCACCGGAAGCGGCGCGATGAACAGGAATTTCACCGGCCTGTGTGCAGGTAAAGACAAGTTCAGACATTCATACATCATGTTATCTATCTGCAGTCTTTATCTTACAAATTATGTATAACCTACTGTGACCAAAGTTTTACATACCTTCCGTTGTTATCCCACACTGAAAATAATATAATTATAAGCATGATATTGATGAGTCACAAAGTGCAACAGTTAGCACAATAATGACAGCTGTGGTACCGACATTCAACCATCACGTCTCAAATGTGCACACCAACAGTCTTCCAACTTGGAAGGTTCTAAGTTTTTTTGGGGGGGGGGGGGGGGGAAAGGTGAGAAAGAGAAATGCGTTGGCGTGCGTATTCGAGACGTGATGGAACAAAACATCAGATAGTTGAATATCAGTACCACAGCACTCATCATTGTGCTAATAGTTGCACATTATGACTCATCAATATCAGACCGTTAACTCTACGTACAGTCATATACTACTAGTAGTCAGAGAATGTGTGTTTCTCCTTGCCAGTAGTTGTGCTTTCAGAAAGAAAATTTTAGCTTTCCGCACGGAATAGTCCACCCTCATCTATGCTACAACGATGAGTCCACAACCGTGACAAGTGACAAAACAATGTACAGCTCCCAGACCTAAAACTTTCAGATCCCGTAGTGGTGTAAGCCCTAAATCGAAGAGTCATGCCCTTGATTCAAAGAACCTTTACTGTTTTCCAATCGAGCACCGTTCAAAATGCACCAAAACATTACCATATGGCAGGCGACTGGAATCCGAGCGAGTCGGTATGGAACTGGTGATATTCCCCAGCAATAGACATAGAGTTAGGACAGTGATCCTCATGACCAAGAAGAGTGCTGTGCTGTAAGGAGAGTCAATGGTAGAGATTGTTCAACTTACATTGTTCTTTACAGAGATCATGTCTCGTTGGAGATCTAGTAGATACTTGACAACGTCTAGCTTTCCTTTATGGGCAGCGAAATGAACAGGAAGGTCACCTGCCTGTGTACAAGAAACACACATGACCAGACATTCCTATGCTTTATCCATCAGAAAACTACTCATATTGAATATAACGTACAACTCACTATGATGTGAAGCATGGTCATATACACAACTCTGGTAAGTCAATTGCATTATGCTTTTATAAGTATTCATGGCTAGTTATCATTGTTGAAACGTATTTCCCTGACGAAGGTCTCATGAAAGCCGGATAGGAAATTCTAGGACGCATTACTTTGTCATTGCTATGCACAATGTCCGCCTCGTTCATTCTGCCTATTGCTATAAAATACTTCATGCAATGTAAATAAAAAACCAGAATGATGCAGAGAATGTACCATGTTGCAGTGTTGTGTCCAGGATTTTGCTTAGGGGGTCCCGGCTGGGGGGGGGGGGGGGGGGGTTGTATGACATCATGTTACTGTCCCAGTTCAGCCAACTTTAAAAAAATGGTATAATTCCTCACCCAAGTCACTAGTGACACAGTGACACAGGCCGGTAATATAGATATCCAACAATAGTAATGCAATCACATTCGATGGGTTTCTTCCAGGCGTATCTCAGTTGCTACAATCATCAGTTTACTTTAGTTAGTACACCCTTGCCAAAAAATTATTTTCGGAGCATACAAGGCTGTTCCTCATCATGTTCTGGCTGGTCACTGACGACAGGTGCTTCTGCTTCTGGTGGAATGTCAGCCCGCTCCAAACTGGACTTACAACGATTTGATCAGTCGTACTCTTTCCAGTTGGAACAGGAATTGCGCCGTCACAAGAGCGCCTTGCAAATATCCATCCAGGGCTCTGCTGGCCAAAGCTTGGCCTCTTTGGATGTCAATGAGATTCCGCAGAAAAGTCTTCGAGTCAACCACGTTTCGAACACCGAGGCGATTATCCTCAAAACATTGTTGTACAAAGTTAGTTTCAGAAAGAGGAGCTTGCCGATGAGAAGCTTTTTTTTTGTCCCACTAGCGCAGTGCTGAGTTCAGCACATCACAGCACACGATCAAGAGACTCAACATGCATAGAGCGCGTCCTGAAATCTGTGCACCTGTGTAGATTTACACAGTCAATTGTTTCTTTTACAGTGTAATTGACGCACCGCGTACGTACGTACCGCTTTTGGATACTAGCCTCCCAACATCTGCAGCCCGTGCAGCAGATTGGTGTTTTTTTGACACCCAGGTCAAAATAATTGAGGGAGGAGCGGGTGCCCCCAGCGCACTCCCCGAAAGATGACACTGTCTAGTCCGTCATTTGCCAAAGTTGCGCACACTTGGGTTATGCACTCGTGACCATTAGAGTGCCAAAGATTGCTCGACTCACTTTGTCCTTCGCAGAGACAGTCTCGGGTTGGAGTTCCAGTAGATATTTGACGACTTCCAGATGCCCACCGGAAGCGGCGTGATGAACAGGAATGCGACCGATCTGTGTGCAGGTAAAGACAAGTTCAGACATTCATACATCATGTTATCTATCTGCAGTCTGTATCTTACAAATTATGTTAACCTACTGTGACCAAAGTTTTACATGCATTCCATAGTTATCCCACACTGACAATAATATAATTATAAGCATGATATTGATGAGTCACAAAGTGCAACAGTTAGCACAATAATGACAGCTGTGGTACCGACATTCAACCATCACGTCTCAAATGTGCATACCAACAGTCTTCCAACTTGGAACGTTCTAAGTTTCGGGGGGGGGGGGGGAATGGTGAGAAAGAGGAATGCATTGGCGTGTGTATTCGAGACGTGATGGAACTAAACATCAGATAGTTGAATATCAGTACCACAGCAGTCATCATTGTGCTAATTGTTGCACATTATGACTCATCAATATCAGACCGTTAACTCTACGTACAGTCATATACTACTAGTAGTCAGAGAATGTGCGTTTCTCCTTGCCAGTAGTTGTGCTTTCAGAAAGAAAATTTTAGCTTTCCACACGGAAATGTCCACCCTCATCTATACTACAACGATGAGTCCACAACCGGGACAAGTGACAAAACAATGAACAGCTCCCAGACCTAAAACTTTCAGATCCCGTAGTGGTGTGAGCCCTGAATCGAAGAGTCATGCCCTTGATTCAAAGAACCTTCATTGTTTTCCAATCGAGCACCGTCCAAAATGCACCAAAAAAGATTATCATGTGGCAGGCGACTGGAATCCGAGCAAGTCGGTATCGAACTTGTGATATTCCCCAGCAATAGAAATAGAGCTAGGACAGTGATCTTCATGACCAAGAAGAGTGCTGTGCTGTAAGGAGAGTCAATGGTAGAGATTGTTCAACTTACGTTGTTCTTTACAGAGATCGTGTCTGGTTGGAGATCTAGTAGACACTTGACGACGTCTAGCATTCCATTATAGGCAGCAGCGTGAACAGGAAGTTCACCTACCTGTGTACAAGTAACACACATGACCAGACATTCCTATACTTTATCCATCAGAAAAGTACTCATACTGACTATAACGTACAACTCACTATGATGTGAAGCATGGTCATATACACAACTCTGGTAAGTCAACTGCATTATGCTTTTATAAGTATTCATGGCTAGTTATCATTGTTGAAACGTATTTCCCTGACAAATGTCTCATGAAAGCCGGTTAGGAAATTCTAGGACGCATTATTTTGTCATTGCTAAGCACCATGTCCGCCTCGCTCATTCTGCCTATTGCCATAAAATACTTCATGGAATGTAAATAAATGACCAGAATGATGCAGAGAATGTACCATGTAGCTGTGGTTTGTCCAGGATTTGGCTTAGGGGGTCCCTGTCGGGGGTGGGGTGTAGGACATCATGCTACTGTCCCAGTTCAGCCAATTTGGGAAAAAAGGTATCATTCCTCGCCCTAGTCACTAGTGACACAGTCACACAGCCCGGTCATATAGACATCCAACAATAGTAATGCAATCACATTCGATGGGTTTCTTACAGGCGTATCTCAGTTGCTACAATCATAAATCATGGTACTTTAGTTAGTAAATCCTTGCCTAATTTTTTTGGAGCATACAAGGCTGTTCTCAATCATGTTTTGGCTGAGCACTGAAACCTGGTACTTCCACATCTGGCCGAATGTCAGTAACTGTTCGCTCCGAACTAAACTTAAGATTTGATCAGGAGTACTCTTTCCAGTTGAAACAGGAATTGCGCCGTCGCAAGAACGCTTTGCAAAAATCCATCCAGGGCTCTGCTGGCCAAAGCTTGGCCTCTCTAGATGTCGCTGGAACTCCGCAAAAAAAGTCTTCGAGTCAACCACAATTCAGACCCCTAGGCGATCATCCTCAAAACATTGTTGTACAAAGTTAGTTTCAGAAAGAAGCGCGTGCCAATGAGAAGCTTTGTTTTTGTCCCACTAGCGCAGCGCTGAGTTCAGCACATCACAGCACACGATCAAAAGTCTCAACATGCATAGAGCGCGTCCTGGAATCTGTGCACCTGTGTAGATTTACACAGTCAATTGTTTCTTTTACAGTGTAATTGACGCACCGCGTACGTACGTACCGCTTTTGGATGCTAGCCTCCCGCCATCTGCAGCCCGTGCAGCAGATTGGTGTTTTTTGACATCCAGGTAAAAAAATTTGAGGGAGGGGCTGGTGCGCCCAGCGCACTCCCCTAAAAATGAAACTGTGTAGTCTGTCATTTTCCAAAGTTGCACGCACTTGGGTTAGGCACTCGTGACCATTACAGTGCCAAAGATTGCTCGACTCACGTTGTTCTTCGCAGAGACAGTCTCGGGTTGGAGTTCCAGTAGATATTTGACGACTTCCAGATGCCCACCGAAAGCGGCGTGATGAACAGGAATGCCACCGTTCTGTGTGCAGGTAAAGACAAGTTCAGACATGCATACATCATGTTATCTATCTGCAGACTGTATCTTTCAAATTATGTATAACATACTGTGACCAAAGTTTTACATGTCTTCCGTAGTTATCCCACACTGACAATAATATAATTATAAGCATGATATTGATGAGTCACAAAGTGCAACAGTTAGCACAATAATGACAGCTGTGGTACCGACATTCAACCATCACGTCTCAAATGTGCACACCAGAAGCCTTCCATCTTGGAAGGTTCTAAGTTTTGGGGGGAAAAAAGGTGAGAAAGAGGAATGCGTTGGCGTGCGTATTCGAGACGTGATGGAACTAAACATCAGATAGTTGAATATCAGTACCACAGCACTCATCATTGTGCTAATAGTTGCACATTATGACTCATCAATATCAGACCGTTAACTCTACGTACAGTCATATACTACTAGTAGTCAGAGAATGTGTGTTTCTCCTTGCCAGTAGTTGTGCTTTCAGAAAGAAAATTTTAGCTTTCCGCACGGAATAGTCCACCCTCATCTATGCTACAACGATGAGTCCACAACCGTGACAAGTGACAAAACAATGTACAGCTCCCAGACCTAAAACTTTCAGATCCCGTAGTGGTGTAAGCCCTAAATCGAAGAGTCATGCCCTTGATTCAAAGAACCTTTACTGTTTTCCAATCGAGCACCGTTCAAAATGCACCAAAACATTACCATATGGCAGGCGACTGGAATCCGAGCGAGTCGGTATGGAACTGGTGATATTCCCCAGCAATAGACATAGAGTTAGGACAGTGATCCTCATGACCAAGAAGAGTGCTGTGCTGTAAGGAGAGTCAATGGTAGAGATTGTTCAACTTACATTGTTCTTTACAGAGATCGTGTCTCGTTGGAGATCTAGTAGATACTTGACGACGTCTAGCTTTCCTTTACAGGCAGCCAAATGAACAGGAAGGTCACCTGCCTGTGTACAAGAAACACACATGACCAGACATTCCTATGATTTATCCATCAGAAAAGTACTCATATTGAATATAACGTACAACTCACTATGATGTGAAGCATGGTCATATACACAACTCTGGTAAGTCAATTGCATTATGCTTTTATAAGTATTCATGGCTAGTTATCATTGTTGAAACGTATTTCCCTGACGAAGGTCTCATGAAAGCCGGATAGGAAATTCTAGGACGCATTACTTTGTCATGGCTATGCACAATGTCCGCCTCGTTCATTCTGCCTATTGCTATAAAATATTTGAAGAAGGGCTGAGGCTTCCTGCAGCTTCATCTGTGAAAAGAATTCGGGTGGACACACCCATTCCCATAGCGCTGCATATCACATCCGAACCAGTTCCGTTATTTTACAACGTTTCGGCACTTGGCCATCATCAGGTAATAACAATAAAATACTTCATGCAATGTAAATAAATGACCAGAATGATGCAGAGAATGTACCATGTTGCAGTGTTGTGTCCAGGATTTTGCTTAGGGGGTCCCGGCTGGGGGGGGGGGGGGGGTTGTATGACATCATGTTACTGTCCCAGTTCAGCCAACTTTAAAAAAATGGTATAATTCCTCACCCAAGTCACTAGTGACACAGTGACACAGGCCGGTAATATAGATATCCAACAATAGTAATGCAATCACATTCGATGGGTTTCTTCCAGGCGTATCTCAGTTGCTACAATCATCAGTTTACTTTAGTTAGTACACCCTTGCCAAAAAATTATTTTCGGAGCATACAAGGCTGTTCCTCATCATGTTCTGGCTGGTCACTGACGACAGGTGCTTCTGCTTCTGGTGGAATGTCAGCCCGCTCCAAACTGGACTTACAACGATTTGATCAGTCGTACTCTTTCCAGTTGGAACAGGAATTGCGCCGTCACAAGAGCGCCTTGCAAATATCCATCCAGGGCTCTGCTGGCCAAAGCTTGGCCTCTTTGGATGTCAATGAGATTCCGCAGAAAAGTCTTCGAGTCAACCACGTTTCGAACACCGAGGCGATTATCCTCAAAACATTGTTGTACAAAGTTAGTTTCAGAAAGAGGAGCTTGCCGATGAGAAGCTTTTTTTTTGTCCCACTAGCGCAGTGCTGAGTTCAGCACATCACAGCACACGATCAAGAGACTCAACATGCATAGAGCGCGTCCTGGAATCTGTGCACCTGTGTAGATTTACACAGTCAATTGTTTCTTTTACAGTGTAATTGACGCACCGCGTACGTACGTACCGCTTTTGGATACTAGCCTCCCAACATCTGCAGCCCGTGCAGCAGATTGGTGCTTTTTTGACACCCAGGTCAAAATAATTGAGGGAGGGGCGGGTGCCCCCAGCGCACTCCCCGAAAGATGACACTGTCTAGTCCGTCATTTGCCAAAGTTGCGCACACTTGGGTTATGCACTCGTGACCATTAGAGTGCCAAAGATTGCTCGACTCACTTTGTCCTTCGCAGAGACAGTCTCGGGTTGGAGTTCCAGTAGATATTTGACGACTTCCAGATGCCCACCGGAAGCGGCGAGATGAACAGGAATTTGACCGCCCTGTGTGCAGGTAAAGACAAGTTCAGACATTCATACATCATGTTATCTCTCTGCAGTCTTTATCTTACAAATTATGTACAACCTACTGTGACCAAAGTTTTACATGCCTTCCGTAGTTATCCCACACTGACAATAATATAATTATAAGCATGATATTGATGAGTCACAAAGTGCAACAGTTAGCACAATAATGACAGCTGTGGTACCGACATTCAACCATCACGTCTCAAATGTGCACACCAACAGCCGGAATCTTGGAAGGTTCTAAGTTGTGGGGGGGAAAAAAGGTGAGAAAGAGGAATACGTTGGCGTGCGTATTCGAGACGTGATGGAACTAAACATCAGATAGTTGAATATCAGTACCACAGCACTCATCATTGTGCTAATAGTTGCACATTATGACTCATCAATATCAGACCGTTAACTCTACGTACAGTCATATACTACTAGTAGTCAGAGAATGTGTGTTTCTCCTTGCCAGTAGTTGTGCTTTCAGAAAGAAAATTTTAGCTTTCCGCACGGAATAGTCCACCCTCATCTATGCTACAACGATGAGTCCACAACCGTGACAAGTGACAAAACAATGTACAGCTCCCCGACCTAAAACTTTCAGATCCCGTTGTGGTATAAGCCCTAAATCGAAGAGTCATGCCCTTGATTCAAAGAACCTTCACTGTTTTCCAATCGAGCACCGTTCAAAATGCACCAAAACATTACCATAATATGGCAGGCGACTGGAATCCGGGCGAGTCGGTATCCAACTGGTGATATTCCCCAGCAATAGACATAGAGTTAGAACAGTGATCCTCATGACCAAGAAGAGTGCTGTGCTGTAAGGAGAGTCAATGGTAGAGATTGTTCAACTTACATTGTTCTTTACAGAGATCGTGTCTTGTTGGAGATCTAGTAGATACTTGACGACGTCTAGCTTTCCTTTACAGGCAGCCAAATGAACAGGAAGGTCACCTGCCTGTGTACAAGAAACACACATGACCAGACATTCCTATGATTTATCCATCAGAAAAGTACTCATATTGAATATAACGTACAACTCACTATGATGTGAAGCATGGTCATATACACAACTCTGGTAAGTCGATTGCATTATGCTTTTATAAGTATTCATGGCTAGTTATCATTGTTGAAACGTATTTCCCTGACGAAGGTTTCATGAAAGCCGGTTAGAAATATCTAGGACTTATTATTTTGTCTTTGCTATGCACAATGTCCGCCTCGCTCATTCTGCCTATTGCCATAAAATACTTCATGGAATGTAAATAAATGACCAGAATAATGCAGAGAATGTACCATGTAGCAGTGGTGTGTCCAGGATTTGGCTTAAGGTGTCCCTGTTGGGGGTGGGGGTGTATGACATCATGTTACTGTCCCAGTTCAGCCAATTTAAAAAAAAATGGTATAATTCCTCCCCAAAGTCACTAGTGACACAGTGACACATGCCGCTCATATAGATATCCAACAATAGTAATGCAATAACATCCGATGGGTTTCTTACAGGCGTATCTCAGTTTCTACAATCATCAATAATGTTACTTTTGTTATTTCTTCCTCCGCGTCATCGAAATTGTCGCAGTTTGACTAGTGACTTGTCACTTGTTACTGACAACTCCATAAGCTAAGCCATTCAAAACTTATTACACAGTATGATAGTCTGAAGACTAGAGTAACGTTCCAGGACATTTGGACTGAGAGTTTCATACAGAGATGAAGTCCTCGTCGTCGCTGATGTCAATGGACGCAAAAATATCGTTCCGAAATATTTCAAGGAAGGTTGAAAGTTGGTCGCGCCTCATCTCAAACGCTTTGACTTTCTCCACAGGACAGGAGCTGCTATGCTTGTGTCGTCTGCTAGCTCTGGATAATTTCTACTCCACCACCAACGAAGCCTAGTAAGAATACACGATCGTTGCGAGGTCGGTTGATTACCGTCGGCGGAATCACCTTGATCTTGAAATGAACTTTTTTAGCCATGGCATGCCCATTTATTTTAGCTGTGTGGTCACAGCTCATGCAGGAAAGTGTAGACCTACTAATTCCTATCACGTCCAGCGCGCCCTCTTTTTCAGCATCACTGGTATACCATGGTACGGCACCTGCGCGTGCATCACTAGCACTACGTGTAGAGTCTACACAGCTCTTGCAGGTACAATCATGTACTGAGTGTCTCAGCCAGAGCGACAAATTTTATCACTGTTGAAGGCATTTAGTTTGCTGACCCCTCGATGTTTCTCCAAGCGCTGCCACTTGTTCCACGAAGTCATTCTCACCCCAGCTAAGGTACAACAGTGATGAGGCTTGAGTGAATGGCCATAAGCACGAGAAATGTGCAGGCTGCAACGCCTGACTGATCTCAGCGAGTCGAAATTACCATCGCAGCGACATCAGCGAAGAAATTGCGTCTAGTTAAAAAATTCCAGCTTCCAGTACCAGAAAATGTAACTTTGCCGTCACCCTATACTGATGAATATCGCCTATGTCTGATTCCTTGCCTCTGGTACGAGTGCTGGTGAGTAAATACCCCATTTTATATCAAAAGTCAAACTGCGACAATTTCGATGACGCGGAGGAAGTACATCCTTCGAGTACATCCTTGGCCAACTTTTTTTGGGGCATACAAAGCTGTTCTCAATCATGTTCCCGCTGGTCACTGAAAACTGGTACTTCCGCATCTTGCCGAATGTCAGTAACTGTTTGTTCCAAACTAGACTTACAACGACGTGATCAGTCGTACTCTTTCCAGGTGGAACAGGAATTCCGCCGTAGCAAGAATGCTTTGCAAATATTCATCCAGGGCTCTGCTGGCCATAGCTTGGCCTCTTTGGATGTCACTGAGACTCCGCAGAAAAGTCTTCGAGTCAACCACAATTCGAACCCCTAGGCGATTATCCTCAAAACATTGTTGTACAAAGTTAGTTTACGAAAGAAGCGCTTACCGATGAGAAGCTTTGTTTTGTCCCACTAGCGCAGCCCTGCATTCAGCACATCACTGGACACGATTAAAAGTCTCAACATGCATAGACAGCGTCCTGGAATCTGTGCACCTGTGTAGATTTACACAGTCAATTGTTTCTTTTACAGTGTAATTGACGCACCGCGTACCGTACGTACCGCTTTTGGATGCTAGCCTCCCACCATCTGCAGCCCGTGCAGCAGATTGGTGTTTTTTGACATCCAGGTCAAAATATTTGAGGGAGGGGCGGGTGCCCCCAGCGCACTCCCCTAAAAATGACACTGTCTAGTCCGTCATTTGCCAAAGTTGCGCACACTTGGGTTATGCACTCGTGACCATTACAGTGCCAAAGATTGCTCGACTCACGTTCTTCGCAGAGACAGTCTCGGGTTGGAGTTCCAGTAGATATTTGACGACTTCCAGATGCCCACCGAAAGCGGCGTGATGAACAGGAATGCGACCGAGCTGTGTGCAGGTAAAGACAAGTTCAGACATTCATACATCATGTTATCTATCTGCAGTCTTTATCTTACAAATTATGTATAACCTACTGTGACCAAAGTTTTACATACCTTCCGTAGTTATCCCACACTGATAATAATATAATTATAAGCATGATATTGATGAGTCACAAAGTGCAACAGTTAGCACAATAATGACAGCTGTGGTACCGACATTCAACCATCACGTCTCAAATGTGCATACCAACAGCCTTCCATCTTGGAAGGTTCTAAGTTTTTGGGGGGGGGGGGGGGGATGGTGAGAAAGAGGAATACATTGGCGGGTGTATTCGAGACGTGATGGAGCTAAACATCAGATAGTTGAATATCAGTACCACAGCAGTCATCATTGTGCTAATTGTTGCACATTATGACTCATCAATATCAGACCGTTAACTCTACGTACAGTCATACACTACTAGTAGTCAGAGAATGTGCGTTTCTCCTTGCTAGTAGTTGTGCTTTCAGAAAGAAAATTTTGCTTTCCGCACGGAATAGTCCATCATCATCTATGCCACAACGATGAGTCCACACAAGTAACACACATGACCAGACATTCCTAAGCTTTATCCATCAGAAGAGTACTCATATTGAATATAACGTACAACTCACTATGAAGCGAAGCATGGTCATATACACAACTCTGGTGAGTCAATTGCATATGCTTTTATAAGTATTCATGGCTAGTTATCATTGTTGAAACGTATTTCCCTGACAAAGGTCTCATGAAAGCCGGTTAGGAAATTCTAGGACGCATTATTTTGTCATTGCTAAGCACAATGTCCGGCTCACTCATTCTGCTTATTACCATAAAATACTTCATAAATGACCAAAATGATGCAGAGAATGTACCATGTAGCAGTGGTGTGTCCAGGATTTGGCTTAGGGGGTCCCTGTCGGGGGTGGGGTGTAGGACATCATGCTACTGTCCCAGTTCAGCCAATTTGGGAAAAAAGGTATCATTCCTCACCCTAGTCACTAGTGACACAGTCACACAGCCCGGTCATGTAGATATCCAACAATAGTAATGCAATCACATCCGATGTGTTTCTTACAGGCGTATCTCAGTTGGTACAATCATCAATCATGGTACTTTAGTTAGTAAATCCTTGCCTAAATTTTTTGGAGCATACAAGGCTGTTCTCAATCATGTTTTGGCTGAGCACTGAAACCTGGTACTTCCGCATCTGGCCGAATGTCAGTAACTGTTCACTCCAAACTAGACTTACAACGATTTGATCAGGCGTATCCTTTCCAGTTGAAACAGGAATTGCGCCGTCACAAGAAGGCTTTGCAAAAATCCATCCAGGGCTCTGCTAGCCAAAGCTTGGCCTCTCTAGATGTCGCTGAGACTTCGCAGAAAAGTCTTCGAGTCAACCACAATCCGAACCCCTAGGCGATTATCCTCAAAACATTGTTGTACAAAGTTAGTTTCAGAAAGAAGCGCGTGCCGAAGAGAAGCTTTGTTTTGTCCCACTAGCGCAGCGCTGCGTTCAGCACATCACAGCACACGATCAAGAGTCTCAACATGCATAGAGCGAGTCCTGGAATCTGTGCACCTG